ATAATCTTATAGTTACTTATAATCATAAAGATATATACTCAATATAACCTTTAATTTTACTAATGACTATCGGGTTATGAAGCATAGAACTGAGGTGACATTGTGAACAAAGTGATCCTAAGGCAAGATGCTCTAAGCCCTCTGTCATGCCCACATAAGGGCTGCTGGAGGGCGCCTTGGCTGTGAGGCAGTGCCAGTGCTGTGACAGCAGCCACTATTTAGCCAGCTAGGGAAGGAGATGCCCAAAATGACTGAGACATCTCCTTCCTGGGGAAGTTAGGAGAAAACGCCGCTTCTCCAAGCTCTTGTGGCAAGGCCTGACGGCTGTCAGGGACACCCACGGACATCCCGGATCTTAACTGTCTCTATGAGACGCTGTGCTTCAGTGATCACATTCCACGTCTACTCTCATGCCCTGCTTCTGCACCTGGTTTCTCTTTTCCTTAAAATATAAGAATTAATAATAGTAGGGCCAGTGCGGTGGCTCACGCCTGTAATCCCAGCACTTTGGGAGGCCGAGGAGGGTGGATCACGAGGTCAAGAGATCGAGACCATCCTAGTCAACATGGTGAAACCCCGTCTCTACTAAAAATACAAGAATTAATAATAGTAACATAATCTTAGTGTCCTTGATATTTCTGACAAATATGAAAAGAGCACTGACACATTAGCTTTTCTCCTCCCTTCGGCTACTTGAAAGTCTTAGGCTCCCTATCTTCAAGACACGTGATTTACCTGACCCTATCACCGACCACCATTACCTCATCCTACCTTCCCTGCCCACTGCTTTGTACTCAATAAAAGTCAGAGTGTCTGGGCACTCGGTGCCACTGCAGGTCTCCGCCCTTTGGTTGGCAGTGGACCCCCGAGCCCAAACTCTCTTTTCTTTATCTCTGTGTCTGTGTCTTTTATTTCTATGGTTTCTCATCTCTGCACCAGCAGGGAGGGGCTCACAGAACCCTACAGGGCTGGACCCTATAGTTAACAACCAGACTTTGGTCTCCTGTGACTGGCTAATGGTCTCCACGTGGCAGACTTAGTTCAGGTTTTGCTTCTGCTATATCCTGCCAGTAAGGAAGCTGCAAAGGCAGAGAAGAGACCTTTTCCTCTATTTATCAAAAGGTGCCAGAGATGCACCTTTTGATAAATTACATATATATATAAATTATAAACATGTAAATTATGTATTTTATATATATAAGATGGATATATTAATTAGCCTGACTCATTCTACCATGTATACATGTAATGTAACATCACATCATACCTCATATATATATGATTATTATTTGTCAATTGAAAATAAAATTAAAAAAGAAAGTTTGCTATTTGCTGACTCCTGGACTACACAATCATTAAGGTTCCTTCCAGTTTCCAAAAGTGACTACCAGAATTGACTTACCATTAAAGACAATGTAGCATATGTCCACACAAAAACTTGTACACAAATGTTCACAGCAGCGTTATTCACAATAGCCCAAAAGATGGAAACAACTCAAATGTCCATCAACTAACGAGTGGTTAAACAAAATGTGGTGTTTCATACAATTCCTTTTTTGGCCATAAAAAGAATGAAGCACTGAAACATGCTACAAGATGTATGAATCTTGAAAACACTATGCTAAGTGGAAGAAGCCAGACGTAAGAGGGTCTACACTGGATGAGTCCATTTATCCGAAATGTTCAGAATAGGCAAATTCATAGAGATAGAAAGTAGAAGAGTGGTTGTGGGTGTTTAAGGGTGGGAGATAGGTAGTGCTTTTTTCTAAGGTGAAAATGTTTTAAAATTGTGGTAATCGTTGCACAAGTCTATGAATAAGCTAAAACCCACTGAATTATACTCTTTAAATGAGTAAATTGTATATTAATAGTATGCAAATTATACATCAGTAACAATTTTTAAAATGGGAAAAGTTTTTTAAAAAAGTAATCCATCTATCCTCTGACCTAGAAATTCCACTTCTATAAATTTACCCCATAGACAGATATGCTTACCTGTAGGAAAAAACTCATTTCATAGACGTACATCTATTGCAGTATTGTTTGTAATGGCAAAAGAGTAAACACATAAATGTCAATCAACAGTGGATTCAGTAAATTATTGTATATTCACACACTGGAACATTATACAGTCACTAAAAAGAATAAGGCAACTCTATATGTGCTGAGATAATCTAAAAGATATATTATTATGTGGGGGAAAAAAAGCACAGTGGAGAACAGAATGTATAGTTACCCCCCCCCCCCAACCAGAGATGTCCACTTCCTAATCCCTGGAACCTGTTAATGCTATGTCACATAGCAGGGAGGAAATTAAGGTTACAGATGGAATTAAGGCTGCTAATCAGATGACCTTGAGATTAAAAGAGTTTACTCTGGATTAATCAAGTGTGCCCAATTTAACTGCAAGGTCCTTAAAAGTGAAAGAGGAAAGCAGGATAGTCAGTGTTAGAATAATACAGTGTGAGAAAGACTCAGCCAGCCATTTCTGATTTTGAAAGTACAGGTGGAGGGGAGTTGACTGGTTGAGGGAAGGGATAAAACTTTGTTTCATTTTATTATTTTATTTTCTTGAGACAAAGGCTCTGGATTCTGTCGCTGGGGCTGGAGCGTAATGGCATGATCTTGGCTCACTGCAGACTCACCTCTCCAGCTCAAGCAATTCTCCCACCTCAGCCTCCTCCTAAGTGGCTGAGCGCACAGGTATGTGTCACCACTATACCTCGCTAATTTATTTATATTTTTGTAGAGACAAAGCCTCCCTCTGTTGCCCAGGCTGATTCAAACCCCAGGGCTCAAGCGATGCTCCTGCCTTTCAACGTGTTCAGATTACTGGCGTAAACCACCATGGCTGGCCAGGATGGAACTTTTCACTATACATCCTATTGTGCCTTTTGAACTTTTTATGTTGAGAATGTGTTTTGTTGTTGTTGTTGTTGTTGTTGTTGTTGTTGTTGTTGTTGTTTTTGAGACGGAGTTTCGCTCTTGTTACCCAGGCTGGAGTGCAATGGCGAGATCTCGGCTCACCGCAACCTCTGCCTCCTGGGTTCAGGCAATTCTCCTGTCTCAGCCTCCTGAGTAGCTGGGATTACAGGCACGTGCCATCATGCCCAGCTAACTTTTTGTATTTTTAGTAGAGACAGAGTTTTACCTTGTTGACCACAATGGTATCGATCTCTTGACCTCGTGATCCACCCACCTTGCCTCCCAAAGTGCTGGGATTACAGGCTTGAGCCACCGCGCCCGGCCGATAATGTGTTTTTTTAAAGTAAGGGGGGGAAATGACATATAATGAAAAAATCTGGTTAAGAATTTGCTTTATCAATAACTTGGTAAAGAGAAGAGAATTTGTTGTTGTTGTTGTTTTTAATGGCATTTGTCAGGTCTGGGACATTTTTCACTTGTGCACACATTGTATTCCAAGATTCTGTAAACCCTGCATCGATTCAGAAGAGAACCTGGATTCACACAGCCTGTGCGTGACAATGGTGTTAAGTCTTGAGCATGAACATTGTCCCAGATTTGTTTGGATTCTTAGAAAAACCAGGCATTAAAAGGATTTATACTGAGCTATAAAGAGCCCAAGGGTTAAAAAAGGAAAACTCTGGTCTGAAGAAAATGTTCTGTTTAGCACAGGTCTCAAAAAAGAGAGAGAAAAAAAGTTTACATCCTTTGATCCAGTAATTTCAGCTACAAGAAACATGTCCAAGATAAAAACAAACCAAAAACATAACCAAGGAAGAACAATGCAAAGAAGTTCATTACAGAATGAATTCTAACAAAACAGAAAACGATTGATTAACGTCCCATATTAGGAGACTGGTTAATTACAATATAATTGTATACAATATAATTGTATAAAACAGTCATTCAAAATTATGTTTATAAAAACCTTGGTGACATAGGGATAGAATGAGAACATGTAGGACTTTTAAAATTATGTTTACACGACCTTAACTCTATCTTTAAGAGTCAGGGTTGCTAGAAAATACCAAAAAGTTAGTAGTGGTGCCTGTGGGTATCAGCATTTGGGGGATTTTTCCTACTTCCACGTACTAACATATTTTCAGGCGTCCCCAAACTTTTCACACAGGGGGCCAGTTCACTGTCCCTCAGACGGTTGGAGGGCCGCCACATACTGTGCTCCTCTCACTGACCACCAATGAAAGAGGTGTCCCTTCCTGAAGTGCGGCGGGGGGGCCGGATAAATGGCCTCAGGGGGCCGCATGCGGCCCGCGGGCCCGCAGTTTGGGGACGCCTGTATAAATGTTCCACAATGGCATTTTTCAGGACCTGTCATTTTTTGCTTACACACACATTTTATTCCAAGATTGTGTAAACCCTGCATCGATTCAGAAGAGAGCTTGTATTTACAGAGCCTTCTAGTCAGAATGGTGAAAGCGTGTACTATTTTTTACAATTAGGAAACAAAACTAAACTGAAAAAAGAACGCGTCACTGAGGCTGTCTAACGCCACTCCTTAAGTTTACAGAAACGACACTGTAACCTTCGGCCCAAGGGCTGAAGCACCTGATTCCAAGCAGAAACAAGCGAGCCGCGCTCCGCCAGCTTCCGAGGCCGCGCTCAGCAGCGGGGCCACGCCGGCCCTGCCCCGCGTCCGTGCTCCCAAGCCTCGCCCAGCTCCCAAAGAGGAACCGACTGACCCAGACCGCCCCCATGCGGTCGGCTGAAATTAAGGATTAGGGAAACGTCACATGCCTTCTTTTCAACCAAGACCTCAAAAGACACTGACCCTGTCATTCTCCGACTCCCGGAACGCCTGTCCGTTAGCGCCCACCCCGCAAACCAAGGTCCTCGCCAGACGATCGCGAGCTGCCCTGAGGGCGGAGCGGGCTCCAAGCCCAGCCGCGCGGCTGTGCGCGGCGCGCTCCCAGGGCCCTAGCAAGCAGGACCGCGGGAACCCGCAAAGGGAGGGTGTCGCCGGCGGAGGCTCTGAAAGCGCCCCACCTCCAGGCGGAGGCCGCGCGCTCGGCGCTTACCTGGGCCTCCAGCGGGTGCTGCCATGGTGACGACGCCCGCCGTCCGCGCAGGCGCCTAGCGGCTGGCGACCCAGCGGACCGGGCAAGGGCGACAGGGAAACGACTCCGCAAACCACAGGCTGCGGGCAGGGGAAGAGCCAGCCGGGAGCCAGCGAAGCGGAGCCAATAGGAGCCGCGACGCGCAGGCGCAGAGGCTGGCGGTCCAGGTTCGCTTGCGCGCCGCGCCGCGGTGCTGGTGTTGCCGAGCGCTCCTCGGACAGATTGCCGAAGGCCGTTGTAGCTCTGAAGACAACGCTGCCGTTAGGGAATTCTGCGGCGGAGGATGGAACTCCGATTGAAAGCAATTGTTGGAGTGGGGTACGAATTCCAAAGCTGGATATATTTGCCTTTAAATGTTAGTAATATCCTAAAAGGATGTGAAGTCGTTACTGATAAAAATCAGTGTTTCTGGCCCGGCGCGGTGGCTCACGCCTGTAATCCCAGCACTTTGGGAGGCCGAAGAGGGTGGATTGCTTTAAGTCAGGAATTTGAGACCAGCCTGGCTAACATGATGAAACCCCGTCTCTACTGAAAATTTAAAAATTAGCCGAGCGTGGTGGCGCACGCCTGTAATCCCAGCTATTCGGGAGGCTGAGGCACGAGAATGGCTTGAACCTGTGAGGTGGAGGTTGCAGCGAGCCGAGATCACACCACTGCACTCCAGCCTGGGCCACAGAGCAAGACTGTCTAATTAATAAATAAATAAATAAATAAATAAATAAATAAATAAATAAAATAAAAAGCTTTTTGCACAAGATTACCGAGCTGATAACTTGAAGTTTTCTCTCCCCTGTTTTGTCTCTCTACCAGCTTTCAATCAGAAAAACGCTCCCAGCAACTGGGTCCTCCCATCCATTGTCTTTCTAGCCCTCCTTAACTCCTTACTTTCTGAAGCCAAACTAGTGATCAGAATTAGCAACAAAGCTCTGCCATTTCAGCCACTGTTACCAAAAAACTCAATCTGCCAGCGGTAGACCTAAGATAACTATACATTACCTGACAGATAATACAAAGGGAATTTATTATCACCCAGCCTTTCAGATAAAGTATTTTTAATCACTCCAAAGCAATCACTCTCCATTTACTCCCTTCCCACCCCCAGACAACAACTCATCTACTTTCTGTCTCATGAATTTGCTTATTCTGGAATTTCATGTAAATGGAATCACAGACTATATGTTTCATCTTTTGTATCTGGCTTCTTTCACTTAGCATGTTTTCAAAATTCATCCATGTTTTAGCATGTATCAGTACTTTCTTCCTTCTTATGTTGGAATAAATTCCAGTTTGTATATACCACATTTTATGTGTGTCCATTCAACAGCTGATGGACATTTAGGTTTTTTCTACATTTTGCATTGATGAATAATGCTGCTATGAACATTCATGGACAAGTTTTGTGTGGATGTATATGAGCACATTTCTGTGTACATATCTGTGTACATACCTAGGAGTGGAACTACTGGTTCATTTAGTAACTGTTTAACTGTGTGAGGAAGTGCCAGTTTTGCAAAGCAGCTGTACTATCTTTCATTCCCACCAGCAATGTATGAAGATTCCAATTTCTCCACATCTTCACAGTACTTGTTGTTACTGTGTTTAATTATAGCCATCCTAGTGGACAGGAAGTACTACCTCATTATCTTGATTTGCATTTTGCTACTAATAACGTTGAGCATATTTTCAGGTGCTTATTGGTCATTTATATATTTCCTTTGGAGAAATGTCTTCTCAAATCCTGTGCTCATTTCAATTGTGAGAATTCTTTATATAGTTTCCATACAAGTCCCTTAACAGATAATTTTCAAATATTTGCAATATTTTCTCCCATTGGGCAGATTGTCTTTTCACTTTCTTGATGGTATTGATTGCAGTACAAGTCTTTTTTTAAAACCTTTTTTTCTTTCTTTCTTTTTTTTTTTAAGATAGACTCTTGCTCTGTTGCCCCAGGCTGTAGTGCAGTAGCATGATCTTGGCTCACTGCATCCTCCCAGGTCCAAGTGATTCTCCTGCCTCAGCCTCCCTAGTAGCTAGAATTACAAGCATGTGCCACCACGCCTGACTAATTTTTGCATTTTCAGTAAAAATGAGGTTCACTATATTGGCCAAACTCCTGAGGTCAGGAGTTTGAGACCAGCCTGGGCAACATGGTGAAACCCTGTCTCTACTTAAAATACAAAAAAAAAATTATCTGGGCATGGTGGTACACACCTGTAGTTCCAGCTACTCAAGAGGCTGAGGCAGGAGAATCACTTGAACCCTGGAGACAGAGGCTGCAGTGAGCCAAGATTGCATCACTGCACTCCAGCCTGGGTGATAGAGACTGTCTCAAAATAAAAAAATAAAATAACTAGTTTAAGTCTTTTTCTGATAATTCTGACATTTGGGTAACCTTAGAGTTGGCTCTTGTTCATTGTCTTTTTCCTAGAGAATGCTTAGGTTTCACTAGTTCTTTGTCAAGTAATTTTGGATTGTTTCTGGGATATATTTGGAATATTAGGAGATTCTCACCTTGTTACTGCTGCTGGATCGGTAGAGCAAGGAAAGTCCAGAATGCACCAAGTCATTACCCTTGGTTCCAGTGGTGGGGAGGTGGGTCTTACTGCATCTTTCCTGAGGCTCTCTTAGAATAGTGCAATTATATTAAAAAGCCTCCAACCTCCTTTCTGGTCCTCTGACTACAGAAAGCAAATTGTTCCTTGGACTCCTTTTCTGTCAGCTAGCATTTTCAATTTTCCTGTTAAATGTCTTACCTTTTTGAAAAATTTGAGACAAGGTGTTGCTCTGTTGCATGATCACAGCTCACTGGAGCCTCAACCTCCTGGGCTCAAGTGATCCTCCCTCCTCAGTGCCCACGTAGCTGGGATCACGGGTATAAGCCATCACACCTGGCTATTTTTAAATTATTATTTTGTAGAGACAGTGTCTACCTATGTTGTTGCTCATGGTAGCCTCAAACTCCTGAGCTCAAGTGATGCTCCTGCCTTGGTCTCCCAAGGTGCTGGGACTACAGGTGTGAGCCACTGTGCCCGGCCTTATGTGTTGACGTGTAGATTTTCTAGTTTATTCTGTTTGGGATTTGTCTGGCTTCTAGAATGTGCGAGGTCGTATTTTTCATCCATTTTTGAAATTCTGCATTCTATCTAAATGTTTGCTCTGTCCTATTCTCGCCTCTCCTCTCACAGCTAATGAAGCACATGTTATAACTTTTCACTGAATTCTCTTCCGGTCTTCTGCTTTTTTTCCCAGCTGTTTCTCCATGCTGCATAGTGGACAGGTTCTTCTGAGTTGTTTTCCAGTTTTTAAACTACTCAATTGGCTGTGTTCTATTACATTTATTTACTGAGTTTTAAAGCGCAGTTTTTATGTACATTCTTGCAATGTTTATATTCAGTTCTTTTCCAGATTAGCTCCACAACTTTTTATAGTTTCCCATTTCCTGCAAGTACATTCACACACCTGCCTTTATTTCCTTAAATTAAGAAAACAAATCTGTCAGGCACGGTGGCTCATACCTGTAATCCCAGCACTCTGGGAGGCCGAGGCGAGTGGATCACGAGGTCAAGAGATCAAGACCATCCTGGTCAACATGGTGAAACCCCATCTCTACTAAAAATACAAAAAATTAGCTGGGCATGGTGGCGCGTGCCTGTAATCCCAGCTACTCAGGAGGCTGAGGCAGGAGAATTGCCTGAACCCAGGAGGCGGAGGTTGTGGTGAGCCGAGATCGTGCCATTGCACTCCAGCCTGGGTAACAAGAGCGAAACTCCGTCTCAAAAAAAAAAAAAAAAGAAAGAAAAGAAAAAGAAAACAAATCTAATACCTATGTCTGTGATTTTGTTTTCATTGCTTCAAGTAATTCTTACCTCTGGAATCTAGATTCCTTATATGCCTACTTAATTTTTACTACATGTTACTAGACATATTTGAAAAGTAATTTGAGGCCTACAATGCAATTAGTTTTCCATGGAAAGGATTTACATTTTATTTTCTCTGTCCCCTGGAGGCATAACCAGTGTGGGAACACCTTAAAGGAAGTTCAATGCTTAGGATTCTTTAGATCACTAAGGCAATTCTACACTTGCCTATTCTTTTACATTGGTTCTTCCACCTCTGATTCATTATCATTCTAAAGGTAAAACTATTTGGGGCTCTCAGCTTATTGTGTGGAGGGTCTTCTGTTTGGTTCACAACTGTATATGGGCCTTCAACTTTGATTTCTGTACCCCACACTCATAAGGTTGTCAGAGTAGGGGCCTATGCTCACTTCTCTTATTCTCTTTACTTTTGAACTAGGCATTCCTTATTGTCTGGAAAAATCTCTTTGATGTTTTAAGATTATTCTTGTATTTTAATCAGGAATTGTTTTCAACAGGAACATGATGTAAATATCCTAGCATGCAAATTTCAGAAACAGGAAGTTTCCCACAATTGCATCTTTGTTCCTACATGGCCAAATCCTAATCTTTCTCGGCATGCTCTGCACTTAAGCACATACTACTTGTGGCATGGAATCCATGAATGTTTATAGAGAACCATGTCTAATTCTGTCAGAACAATTAATCGCTTTAAAAATTTTTTGTTTAAAAACCTGGTAAAGTGCTCTGCATGTATCAAGTATACAGACACACAAAGTTTGTTGAATAGCTGCATAAACAAATGGGCTAGATTTTACTTCATATTTCAAAATTCAGAGAACGAGAGTAGTATTAGAAGACGTAAGCCAAAAATAGATCATTGCAGATTGAGTACAAAGAACCATTCTATTTTTTCCCTCTTGAAAAACTAAAATTTCAAATTAGGTACCAATGACCAAATATGTAACAAACACATTCAGAAACATACTATATATACATCTGCAAAGAATACTTCAAAATGTGTCTCCAAACTTGAGGCACATCATTCCAAATTTTATTGAATGTAGAGATTTTATGAAAACAAATCTAAAGCTATCCCATCATGGAAGAGCCCTGCACCATTTGGTTATTTTAAGACTGTGCAATTACTTACATGGCACAATACATATACTATATTAGGAAAACATAAATTGGGTTTTCATCTTACACCATTTCAATAAATTTCACAAATTATAACAGGTTGCCATTTTATTGAATATCTGCAACACTTTACATTGTTCATGAAGTAGCCACTTTCAGAAGGCTGATATCCTCCTCCCAGTTGTCTTTGGCTAGTATTATAGATGTGATTCAGTCCAAACTATATGCCCAAACTGATTAACATTCTCAGTCTCTCCTAGCTTGAGACCTTAGATCCTGAGTTAGAACTCTGACTTGATCTTCAAGTCGAGATGCTTCATAAATATTTTTCTTAAAACAGGGTTATTTACCATAATTTCTTTTTCTTGAAATGTAAGAGTGTTTTTGATACAAAAACATATATTACACATAAGAATGTTTAAAGCATCAAAATAATGATTAAATTTTTTATATAACTTAAATGACAGGACTACAATATTCTCCCCTTTTTTTGCTGTTTGAAGTAAAGAGGAAAGCTGTGTAACAATTTCAAATACATAGAATTTAACTTACGTTAATATCCTGTTATAAAAAATAACTACCATATAAACAATTTAAAATATGCAAAAGTAATTATTTCATTTAAATTTATACTTATACATTGGTGTCAATGAAAATATGCGGAGTTGCCAAGAAATTTCTAAGGATTAAAGTGGAAGTAAAAAAACCTGTTTCAGGCTTCATTTATTGCTACATAATGACTACTTCAAGGGTCATCTGGCCTGTCGTCAGTCACACTCATAAGTGGTAAATACAATGGTATACTTTGGAAGAAAAGGAGGAAAAAAATAATGTACTATGATACAAAAATATTGCCTATATACAAATTATTAAAGTTTTATAAAACACATTCAGAATAATATGTTCTTGCTATAAAAACAATATACTTAAATATAGAAGCAAAAAATCCTGAAGCACCCACAATTATTTTAATATCAATTTAATCAGGAAAAACTATATATATATGGATATATAATACATATATATGTATAATTTGAGAGAAAAAAGGCAAAATTTTAATCCAAAAAGAGTTTATCTAATTATGGAGGTAGGTCTCCACTCCAATTATACAAATAAGTTATCAGCTTTATTCAAAGAATTACAAGTCTAAGATTTCGAAACTGGTTTTTGTGCCACTGAAATACAATTTTGACAGACTTTAGAAACCAGTATTCTAACTGGCATATACACAAAACAGACATTTCCTTCATAAGGTTACATCTGAAAAGAGCCTTCATTAAAATCATCATTGACATAAAGAGGTATACCTAAGTGCAGATACTTTGGCTTAGCATTTAAATAACACAGTAAATGCTACAAATTTCTTAAAAGAAATCCTTGTCTTTTCAGTACTTAAATTAATTGTAAAGCTTCAAAAATCATGGATCTTTTAAACTTTTAGATATTTAAATATTGTGCTAATGATTTGAAAAGCTCATTCCTGCCTAAAGAGCAAAGCTTACATGTTTCAAAAATCAGACATATTTATACTTCTAGTGTTTGTGGCATTTCAGCTTTAGTGCTGGAGTTAGTTTTAACAAATCAGGCTGCAATATATAATGTGGCTCAATCTTTCACTAAAAAAGACGTTCTATAATGAAAAACACTAATTCTATTTCTAATGGTAAACTAGAGTTGGAGGTCCCACCATGGATCACAGGTATCAGAGCACTATCAAGATCATTTAGATAATGCTGAGGCAGAAGTTGGCCTTCAGATCCTGCCTGAAATTCAACCTGGAAAAAAAAAAAAATCTTAATAAGAAAATGAGCAATCTTGTGAATGTGAATGTAGAATCTAGCTCAGAATGTGAATATAAAATAAGTGAAATATTTTTAAAAGTTCAAGCATGTTAAATATTTGATATATTTATAAAAAGTATTCTACATTCTCCTGTATTTCTTTTATCCTTCTACTACAAAAATTATAATTGTCCCTCCCCATATATCATAAAGATAAAATTGTCACTATGTCATACTTTATGTTTCTCTAAATGAACGCATAAACAAATTGGAGGGATGAGGCTTTGAATAACTGCTGATATTACTTAAATTAAAAACCCCATGGTATTTAAAAAACTTAAAATATTTCAAATTTGTTATTGCAATAATATTTAACATTAGAATCTGATGTACAAATTACATTAATACATTTGACTGAAAAAATTTACAGTGCTTACTCAAATAACAAATAGTTACTGAATGCTTCCTTGCAAAGAGGTCTTTTAATAGTGAGATAAAACAAAACCCCCTTTCCAGTAAGAACTATGAACAAAACATATCCTGGCTGGAGAAAAGCAAATCTTCAACATATGAACTCACCCATGTCTAGAGTAACCATTCTAATGAAGTCTTGGCTTTGAAAATCTATATTGGATGTTGGAAACAGTTACTTGGATGTCGAAAAGAGAACTTTCAGTTCAATCTGTTAAAGAAATAAATATTCCTACTCCTAAAAAATTCAAAATATTTATTTTCCTAACAGATTTAAACTGAAAGTTCAAAGAAAAACAAATTGTTTTTACATGCAAGATAATCATCACTCCTTGTTAAGAGAAATATACATTAAAATAATACTGGGGCCCAGGCATGGTGGCTCATGCCTATAATCCCAGCACTTTGGGAAGCTGAGGCAGGTGGATGGCTTGAGCCCAGGAGTTCAAAACCAGCCTAGGTAACATAGTGAGACAGCATGTCTTTAAAAAGTAATAATAATATTAATAATAATGCGATATTATTTTTCACCTATCAAATTGTCCAAGTTCAAAAGTTTGATTATATACTTCTTTGATAAGGATGTGGGGGTGGCCAGGTGTGGTAACTCACACCTATAATCCCAGCACTTTGGGAGGTCAAGTGAGCAGATCACATGACGTCAAGAGTTCAACACCAGTCCAGCCAACATGGTGAAACCCCGTCTCTACACAAAAATTAGTCAGGTGTGGTAGAGCGTGCCCATAGTCCCAGCTACTCAGGAGGCTGAGGCAGAATTGCTTGAACCCAGGAGGCAGAGGCTGTAGTGAGCTGAGATTGTGCCACTGCACTCTAGCCTGGGTGGCAGAGCGAGACTCTGTCTCAAAAACAGGATGTGGGGGTGTAGGGGGAAGAGCTCTCACAAATTGCTAAAGGAAATATATATAAATTGGCATAATCTCTATTTGGGATAATATAGTAATATCTATTGAATATATATACTCAGGCCTGGCAATTCTATTCAGAATTTTTTTTATAGATATATTTACTCTTATGTAAAAGCAAAATATTGTGGACAACCTAAATGTCTATCAACATATATCAAATATGCATAGATAACTAGTTAGATAAATTATGGTACATTTATATAATCAACTACTATGCCACTGTTAAAAAGAATATATACTGGTATTAATATCTTTAGGATATATTAAAGGAGGTAAAAAATGTGTAAAAGAGAGGAGATGAAAAAGGAGGATGCCCACTTATTTGCTTGTACATGCATAAAATCACAAAGAATACTAAGAAATGAGTAACACTGATTGCTTGGCCAGAGAAGGAGGATAAAGGAAAGTACGGAGGTGAACTGATCAGTTGATGTCAACAGTAGGAAAGATATTTCCAAGGCTGTTGCCTTTATACATCTCTACTGGGAACCATTTACACTGTAGTCTGGAGTTGTTATCTCCAGAATCCACCAGTTACACAGAATACAGTGTGAATGCTGCTATCTGGAAATGTTCAGTGAGGTGGTCCTCGTATATATATACTTTTAGATTTTAAATCTGGTACATATAGAATCTAGTCAGAATAAGTAACTTTAAAAACCTATCTATAAGGCAGGGTAGTCATGCGGCAAGGTTCAGCAAACTATGGCCTGCAGGCCAAATTTGGCCCCATGGGGTAAACAAAATTTCACTGGAACACACCACACTCATTTGTTTACCTACTTTGAATGGCTGCTTTCCCAATATAATGGTAGTGCTGAGTAGTTGTGAAAGAAACCATACTGCCTACACTGTCCAAAATAGTTACTGTCTGGTCCTTTTACAAAGAAAGTTTGCTGATCCTTGCTGCGGAGATTAATACAGATACTATATGTGAAGTGTATAGCACACATTTAATGCTCAACAAATTTTCATTCACTTCTTTCACCCCAAAATAAAAGGTTGGAGAAAAACTTGATTATTTTAATATGCAATACATTCATTTCAAAAATACATCACAAAAGCACACCTCACCATATCAGTGTCAATGGAAACTCTGAGTCCAATTTTATTCATCCCATTACTCTTTAGAGTTTTCAGGTGAGGGCACAGCGCAGCACTACAAGCCATGGCTATTTCTTTTGCAAACTGATAACAAGTTGATAAAATAGATAAATCCTGGTCCTTTAGAAAGTAGAACACCTGAAATGTATTTAATTAGGAAACAAGTCATAATTAAGATTAAAAGTAACTTTTAAATGCAACAATTGCTGCTTTCAATTCAACTTTAATTAGATTCCAATGTAAAATGCCAGGAAAATCATTAGTTGTGAGAATTCTATATCAATAGCTTGATCTATACTACAAGTAAAAACATAAAACCAAAGGTTATGGTAAATATGGAAATGGCTCAGCTATTTTTGCCTCAAGTTAATTTGTAGCAAGGAAAACTTTGTTAAAACAGTGTAAGTGTATCCTGTAAGAACATCTATATGAAGGTAAGATAAAACAAACGATATTCCATTGTGTCTATATTCCCTGTAGGTTCTATTTTGTACATGTAATAAAATCGTAAAAAATGCTTAAGAAATCAATGTGAGGGGGAATAAGGACGTAGACTAAGGAGTTGGGAGTCTATAGTTTTGTATCCTCTAATTAAAAAATAAATTGGAACATAAAAAATAACGTTCATATGTGAATGCTGATTATAAATTAATGACAATAAAATATCTTATTTTTTGTAAAATATGAGGAAAATGAAAATATGGTCAAATAACATAACACAGTCCAAAGATGGCAATGCTTCCAACACTTAACTGTTAGCTGGGAGGCAGTACCACCAATTTGATAGCCTGAACTAACCGTATGGAAATCCAATTCTGGTGTATAAAAGTCTGGGGTGGAAATGTGTGTGTCTCAAAGTATAGCATAAAAAGTATAATAAGCTTCGCATACACATTTGGAGGTTGAGTATGCATAATCTCCAAGTTCAAAGAACAAAAAATATATTGAAACACAGCATGTAAAAGGAAGGAACCTTCTTTCTTAGTTACCTCACTACACTTTACAATCTTCTCATCACTTTCAAAATCTGCTTCCAGTTTTATTTTTTCACTTGGAAATCCCTGTAATGATATTCCATCCACTGAACTGACAACACTACCAAATAAAACATAATAAAATAGAATTATTAGCACCAATGTGCTTTTTGAAATAAATCATTAGATTTGAACAGATGAAATGAGGGAAAAATATAAAAGAAGATATCTCATTTATATACAAAATAATTAAATCTGTAGTTCATATTCATTTACCAAGATTTCTTGATTGTGTAGTAATCTTTTTTTATTCCATCAATAAACTATATCTCCTTTCTCATATGCCCAATTCAGACTTGAAGCTTAAAATACCTTAGATAGCAACGTCTGGTGGCTCATGCCTGTAATCCCAGCACTTTGGAAGGCCGAGGTGGGCAGATCACAAGGTCAGGAGTTCAAGATCAGCCTGGCCAACATAATGAAACTCCATCTCTACTAAAAATACAAAAGTTAGCTGGGTGTGGTGGCATGCACCTGTAGTCCCAGCTACTTGGGAGGCTGAGGCAGGAGAATTGCTTGAACCGGGGAGGCGGAGGTGGCAGTGACCCAAGACCATGCCATTGCAATCCAACCCGGATTACAGAGTGGGACTCCATCTCAAAAACAACAAAACAAAATAAAAAACCCTTAGATAGTCTCCTAATAGAAAAGCTGCCTCATGAATTAAAAAACTGTTTTGGAATCCTTCAGCCCTCTTCTTCCTTCTTTGCTCCAGACCCAATCTCAAAAAAAGCCAATCTCAAAAAAAGAAAAAAGAGTAACTGAAGAGAGGAAGGAGTGGCAGTAACAATTTGTAAGGCCTCTAAGGTATATATTATTAAATCCAGTTGTTTGTATTTATAGTGAATCAAAATAATATAGTATATATCATCCAAAGGAATCTTTTACTTATGTGACAAAAATAGGTACCATCTGACAGAAAAAGTGCCTTGCTTTTCTCAGCCCCGGCATCAAGCCCATGCTGCTACACAATGGATGTTTCATCATCGAGCTCCTCCCAAATAGACCATCCTGGCCCAAAAACCACACCACCACTCATGAGGCCAGTTAGGTACATGTTTGAAAAACAGACTGCATTCATTAATTTGAGTATAAGCATTTAAATAAATGGTGTAAGTCTATATTCATTCACAAAATATTTAATTTTATTAATACAACGTTTTAATCCTTCCCTTTCCTTCAAATCAATTATATTTTAGAATAAAAAGAATTCCTACCCTTTGTTTCCTTTTTCTTCGGAATCTACCCAGCAAATATCCACGTATTCTCTCAGGTCTACTGCATCAACTTTCCCACATGTAATTTTAAAGTCTTTCTGCTCTCGTAAAGCTAGCCGCAAGCCATTCATGGTCTCTGGAGTTATTTGTACCATTAAGCCATCTAGAAATGAGAGTAAGTTTCACATTTCTTTTGCCAAATACCAATGTGTATATCTAAGCCATAAAATTTGCTATCAAAATATGTTCTGTGTAAGATACAAGTTTTAAATCATTTGCTAATCATCTGAATGGTTGTTTTCCACTAAGAAATAAGACAAATATTCAGCAAAGTTAAGATTATTTTTTTAGGGTTAAAAAAAAAGATAAGAATTTCTGCTTCTGGCTATGATGAAATAACTGGTACCAGATAGCCTTTTTTTCTCCCCCACCCCGGCTGGAGTGCAATGGAGCGATCTCGGCTCACCGCAACCTCCGCCTCCTGGGTTCAGGTAATTCTCCTGCCTCAGCCTCCTGAGTAGCTGGGATTACAGGCATGCGCCACCATGCCCAGTTAATTTTTTGTATTTTTAGTAGAGACGGGGTTTCACCATGTTGACCAGGATGGTCTCGATCTCTTGACCTCATGATCCACCCGCCTCGGCCTCCCAAAGCGCTGGGATTATAGGCGTGAGCCACTGTGCCCAGCCAGATAGCCCTTTGATGACAACCAACCATAAGACTAGAAAAAATATATGAGATAACTGTTTTTAGGTTACTGCACTAGGCAGTACAATACTGAGATCCCTGAAGGGAATCTGAAGAGATAAGCCTGCAGTTATCTCCAGGCGGAGAACTCAGGTAAGCTTAGTGGGTCACCTGAGGAAATTATTCCCAAGCGACTTACAGGTGGTGTTGAGCCTGTAGATGCACAATGAGGTTTGGGAACCTCAGCCTAGATTTCAGAGGATGTATAGAAATACCTGGATGCCCAGACAGAAGTTTGCTGAAGGGGTGGAGCCCTCATGGAGAACCTCTGCTAGGGCAGTGCAGAAGGGAAATGTGGGGTTGGAGCCCCCACAAACAGTCCCCACTGGGGCACTGCCTAGTGGAGCTGTAAGAAGACAGCCACCATCCTCCAGACCCCAGAATGACAGATCTACCAACAGCTTGCACTGTGTGCTTGGAAAAATGGCAGACACTCAACGCCAGCCCATGAAAGCAGCTGGGAGAGGCTGTACCCTGCAAAGCCACAGGGTTGGAACTGCCCAAGGCCATAGGAGCCCACCTTTTGCATCAAAATGACCTGGATATGAGACATGGAATCAAAGGAGATCATTTCAGAGATGTAAGATTTGACTGCCATGCTGGATTTCAGACTTGCATGGGGCCTATAGCCCCTTCATTTGGGCCAATTTCTCGCAATTAACACAAGTGTATTTACCCAATGCCTGTACTCCAAATGCATCTAGGAAGTAACTAACTTGCTCTTGATTTTACAAGCTCATAGGCAGAAGGGACTTGCCTTGCTTCAGACTAGATTTTGGACTTCGACTTTTGCGTTAATGTTGGAATGAGTTAAGACTTTGGGAGACTGCTGCAAAGGCATGATTGTGTTTTGAAATGTGAGGACATGTGATCTGGGAGGGGCCGGGGCAGAATAATATGGTTAGGCTTTGTGTCCCCACCCAAATCTCATTTTAAATTGTAATCCCCATAATCCCCACAAGTCAAGGGAGAGACCAGGTGGATGTAAATGGATCATGGGGGCAGTTTCCCCCATGCCGTTCTAATGATAGGAAGTGAGTTCTCACAAGATCTGATGGTTCTATAACCAACTCTTCACCCTTAACTCGGCACTTCTCCTTCCTGGTGCCTTGTGAAGAAGGTGCCTTGCTTTCCCTTCACCTTCCACCATGACTTTAAGTTTCCTGAACCCTCCCCAGTCATGCTAAACTGTGAGTCAATTAAACCTGTTTCCTTTATAAATTACCCACTCTCAGGTGGTTCTTTTTTTTTTTTTTTTCAAGTTTCAGTTATTTATTAATCAGTGTAATCTCCAACAGATTACATCAACATGATTTCATGCATTTAGAGAATAAATATTTCCTGGTTAAGTAGAAAATTGTGTGGATGGCTTCTGGAAGACCTTCATCTTAAAGCAGCTTTATAGTGAAACATTTCATTTAGAAATCCAGATGTTCTTTCTTCAGTTTGCTGTAATCCACATTCACTGTGCAGAACTTGTACTGATCATTGGAACCCAGTTTGTTCCAGGGCTCTGTGTTATTCTTTCTGTCCCAACAAACATCCAGATTGAACAATACCAGATGCAAGAGATACAGGGCTGATCCACTACCTCCAGTTCCAATAAATACAAAGAGTGGGGATCAAGGTTGGATGCCTCTTGGCCTGAGCTGATGGAGCATGTTCGCAGCAGAGGCCTCTGATTAGAAAGGAGAGAACCAGCCTAGCCACAAGGCCCTGGGCTAAGTAGTATTTCAGGCAGTTCTTTATAGCAGTGTGAAAATGGACTAATACACTTAGAAAGCCACATACTACCATAATTGATTTAAAAAGAATTAGAAAATCTAAATGTTATGGATAGAACTGTGTTCCCCCAGAATTCATATGTTGAAGCCCCAACCCCCAAATTTAACTGTATTTGGAGTTGGGCCTTTAAGAAGATAACTAAAGCTAAACTAAGTCATAAAGGTGAGGCCTTAATCTGAAAGGACTGGTGTTTTTTTTTGTTTGTTTGAGATGAAGTCTTGCTCTGCTGCCCAGCCTGGAGCTCACTGCAACCTCTGCCTCCCAGGTTCATACGATTCTCATACCTGAGCCTCCCAAGTAGCTGGGATCACAGGCGCCCACCGCAATGCTTGGCTAATTTTTGTATTTTTAGTAGAGGTGGGGTTTCACCACGTTGGACAGGCTGGTCTTGAACTCCTGACCTCAAATGATCCAACTGCCTCAGCCTCCCAAAGTGCTCAGATTACAGGCATGAACCACTGCGCCCAGCCTAGGACTGGTGTTTTTATAAGAAGAAGAGATACTGGAGCTCATTCTCTTTCTGAGAGCACACACAGAGAAAAGGCCATGTAAGGATACTGCCACTCACAAGCCCAGGAGACAAGCCTCACCAGAAACCAACCCTGTTGGCACCTTCATCTTGAACTTCTAGCCTCTAGAATTGTGAAAAAATAAATTTATGTTTCTTAAGCTACTCAATCTGTTGTATTTTGTTATGGCAGCCCATACTGATTAAGAAGAAGTAATACAAAAAAAAAAAAAAAAACACTGAAAACAGACATAATTAAAAGAGTAGACAACTGATTGCAGTGATTTGATCTTATTTGGATACTGACTAAGAAAGAAAATGGGGGTAATATGACTACTGACTGGATATACAGGAATTATTGATAAAATATTTATGTGTGATAATACAGGTTGAATATCCCTTATCTGAAGTGTGTAGGGCCAGAAGTGTTTCAGATTTCAGATTTTCTTTGGATTTTGGAGTATCTGCATTATACACTTAGCAGTTGAGCATCTGAAATTGAAATGTGAAGTCTGACATGCTCCAATGGGCACTTCTATTGAGAGTCATGCCAGTGCTCAAAGAGTTTAGGATTTTGAAGCATTTCAGATTTCAGATATTTTGATTTGGAATGTTCAGCCTGTAGTTTTGTGGTTATGTTTCTGAAAAACTACTTTTTCTTTTAGAAACATGTATTATTTGTGAATGAAATGACATAATAACAATAAACCAATGGGAAGAGTAGGTAACGAGTATGTATAAAGTAGGTTGATTATAAATTGATAACTGTCAAAGGTGGGTGATGGTTCCATTAACATTTTTCATATTATACTTTCTTACTTTAATACATGCTTCATTTTTTCATAGTAAAAGTGAAAATATTTACAAAAACAATAAAATAGTATGGTATCAGTACAGAGTTAAACTGACTAAAACACAACAAAAGCTAAGAACATAGACCAGAAACAGATTCTCATGCAAATAAAACATGCCATGTGACAGAGAGAGCATTAAAGGTTACTAGAGCAAAGGGACAATTCAATATCTGATGCTAGAGCAACCCCTATTCAAATGACAAAAAAAGTCACTGGATTTCTCTACCTCATACAACACATAAAATTAAATTCCAGATAAATTAAGGACTTAAGTGTGAAAGGCAAAACTTTAAATCTTCAAAGACAACATAGGAGAATATCTTTCTAAACCATATGACAGACTTCTTAAATAAAAGACATTAGCTATAAAAGAGTCATAAATTATACTGTATTAAAATGAGAACTTCTATTTCAAAAGACACTAAAAATGGTAGAGAAGGAATATAAAATACATAAAATTGTGTAACTACACTTTAGTTAGAAAAAGACACACAACCCAATAGAAAAATGGGCAAAAGATATGAACAGACATTTCACAGAAGAAGCAACATGCATGTCCAATAAATATGTAACAGGATGCTGTGCTTATTAGTAATTAGGGATATGCTAATTATGACTATATTCAGAGATACTTACAGGATCAACACAAATTAAGCAGTCTGATAAAATCACATTTGGAGAAAATGTAAACCAATCATAAATTTTATATATTCTGATGGTAATATAAATTGATACAACCAATTTGTAAAGTTTCTAGGGCAACTCTAGAATATATTCTTAGAACAGAAACAACCCAGAAGTTCATGATCAGGAAATAAGTATGTTGTAATACATTCACAAACTATTTAACAGCATTTAAAATGAATAAACTATAGTTGTAAGAAACAACATGCATAAATTTTAGAAACTCATATTGTCTGAAAATAGGGAGTTCCATATGACTATATGAAGAATGATTTCACTAAATAAGCACAAACAATATGTTGTTTAGGCAGATGTATATACAAAGTAAAAAACAATTAAGCAAGAGAATGATAAACACAGTACTCAGTCCAGTCACTAATTCTTGGGGAGAGGCAGAAGAGAGAGAGATAAGTCTTGTAGTTCTTGTGCTGGCTGATGAATTCATAGAAGTTTGTGGTACTGTGCTTTATAACTTACATATGTTCTTTTGTAAATATCAAACGTATTTTTAAAAGGTTGCAGAAAAATAACTCTACATTAAAACAACATTAAAAATGAAACTCATACCTTCAACTATGCTGGACTTAGCAAGAAATCCTGACGATGTTTTCAGAGCTCCATTGAATACCACAAAACTTGCACCTGTCACTGATCAAGAAATACAAGAATTATTTGTTTTAAACTGCTCATTTTTATAGTATTTATTTTTATATTACATATTTGTTAAGTGCAGAATGTGGATATGCACATTTGAAGTGCTCAATAAATGTTATACCACAACTTACATTAGAAAACTTTTAAAAAATTAAGATACAATATTATATTAAAATAATTTAATGCTTCCAGGCACAGTGGCTAACGCCTGTAATCCCAGCACTTTGGGAGTCCGAGAGGGCAGATCACCTGAAGTCAGGAGTTCAAGACCAGTCTGGCCAACATGGTGAAACCCCGTCTCTACTAAAAATAAAAAAACTACAGCAGGTGCCTGTAATCTCAGCTACTCAGGAGGCTGAGGCAAAACTGTTGGAACCTGGGAGGCAGAGGTTCCAGTAAGCTGAGATCAGGCCACTGTGCTTTCTGTTGCCTAGGCAACAGAGCAAGACTCTTTCTAAAAAGAAAAAAGTAAATAAAATAAATAATAAAATAATAATGTTTTTATTAATAATTAATGGACTATTAAACTGTTTTAAATGTTTGTGCCTGTATTAGTGAGAGTGTAGGAAATCAAACATTCACTACTGGTGAGAGCACAAAAAAGAACAGTCTTTATGGAGCCCTAACTTGGCAATTTTCTACTAAAATTTCAAGTAAATGTATCATTTGACACACCAATTCCACTTCTAGGAATTTATCTTATAGGTTCAAATGTATACAAAGCCATTCACTGTACCATTTTTATAAATAGCCCCTAAGGATTGGTAACAACTTATGTCCATCAATAAGGAACAGTTAAAGAATACATAACATATAAAATGGAAAGTTCTGTAGAATATAAAAGTTCTTTATATACAAACATAGAATAATCGCCAAAGTATATTAACAACAACAAAAAAGCAAGGTAAGAATGGAAAAATACTATGACTTGTCTAAAAAAGTGGAAGAAAGAGATAGATGTGTATGTGTGTGTCTCTTGAACATACATTAAAGCAAAAAAAATGTCTGTGAAAAGATATATAAGAACTGATAACATTGGTTTGGTTGCCTGTAGGGAGAGTAAGAGGATGGCTGAGTGGTCAAGGGAGGAAAGGAGATTTTTCACTATAAATATTTATACCTTTTTAATTTTACCACATAAAAATATACCTATTCAACAAATAATCAAAAGTTGTTAAATTTTAATGGCAAAAATGCCAATATGTTAAGTAATAAAGTATAATATAAAAGTATAAATATCCAGTATAAAATCATCTATTTAACATATATTAATATATATTATATTATATAAACAGAAGGAAATACAGTAAAATGTCAATAGTGACCGTATCTTGGCACTTTTTTACAACTTTTCAAAATGCATTTTCTAAGCTTACTACAAATAAGTATATATTACTTTTATAAGCAGAGGAAAAAATTTTATTAGCAACCAGAATGTCAGATTATTCTAGGTATGTTATCCTATAATAATGTATTAATTTTATGAAGTGCTTCCATTTAACTTTCAATTTGTTAGGCCTTCTACTGCAAGGGTTTGGCAATCAGAGCAATCACTGAAGCCATTCAGCCAGAGCTGAGAGTAACGTCATTCATAGATGCTGCTTGTTATGTTTTATAAATCATTCTTATCCTTATCACCCTGTGCTCTCCCAACTAAGAGTTGTTGGAGCAGAGAGTGAACAAATGTGAAAAGAAATACCTTATTTCAGAAAGAAATTATTCCAATAAAGACTCCCACTCTATGGGATATATGAAACCTAAATATGTCAAAAGGCATATAGTCTTCCAAGTCTGTAAGCCTAATGTAGCCCAAGAGAAAAACAAAAATTAGAAGCAATTTTTAAATCTGTTATGTAGATGAAATTTCAAAGCATACTGTTTTATCACCAACAATTCAGCAAATAGGTAAATATACATTTATTTCCCCTTTGAAAGGAACTCTATTAATTGAACCATGATGCTCACCTTTTCTGGGATGGCCAGTGGCACTGTTGGCCTGTGTTTGATATATTCCATCATTCTGTATACAGACTAGATGAGAATCTGCTTCTGTACTGAAACTAGCTCCAATGCTAATGACATGTTCATTAGAAGAATTTAGTACTTTCATTACCTGAATAAAAACAAAAACAACAACATCTGTCTAGAAACACTTTTAACACTGTATGCTTATTCTAAGAGCCACATTCCTGACCAGCTTCACAATTATCAAGCTTTGGTCTGAACAACTCCCTGGGAATGTGATAGAACAAATGTTTTAAAATAAAATCACTTCAGTTGAACAGTAATCACCTCAATAAAACAGTAAGGAAAAAAGAAACACAATAAAATAGATTATTTACTAGTAAACAAATTCTAGGATTTCAAAAACAATGTTTATTGTTGCCATAATACAATAGATAGTCTAATTCAAAATAAAAAATTTAATGTGACATAATTCTAAGGAACTCTAATGTTCAATAGTTGTCATTTGAATACAATTATACTTACATCGCTGTACTTTTTTCGTGGTATTTTTATGCAGCTTTTTCCCACTTCCATATGGATCAATAGTTCATCTATATTATGCAAGGTATACTGGTAATTTCGAAGGTCCTGCATAAAATAATCCCATTACCATAAACTACTATCCATGAGCATTTTCCCATCCATTAAATCCTTTTTCAAGAACTCCTTCTCTACAACAATAATAAAGAATATCATCTCAGGAAAAATTTTGTAGTATTTAGGGTATCTCCTCTTTCTAGTTACAGAACTTCCAATACAGAAAAGGTCTTCAAACTAGACATATATAAATAAAAGTGAGCCCACTGAAATATTTTTCTATGGTAACAGAGAAACACAAAATTACAAAAATTATAGATGGAAGAGAATTTTAGCTATCATGTAATCCAACACTTCCTATTATAAATGAGGAAACTAAGGCCATAATTTGCTCAAAATCACAAGACTGATTGACTTTACTAACACATTTACAAAAGTTTCAACAACTTTAAGAGGTCTGTGTAGAGTTTCTACATTACCTAAATATCCAAGAACTGCACGAGAATGAATCAAAACGCAATTAGAATCAGGTACACAACATACAGTAGAAGAGACAGTATGTTCTAAAAAGCAATTCATCAAAAACTGAGCACTAATATGTTAAAAAATTAGGATTTATTGTAAATGAATGGTCATCATACTAATCACAGCAAATTAAAGTAGGCATATATAAATGTGTAAAATTTGCTAAATAAAGTTTGAAAGTAACAGTATAAAAACATCTAATAAAATAGTTCAATTACTCACCACAAGTAAGTTCATAATAGTGTGTCCTATTTCTCCAAAAAGAGGTTTTCGGTCTCTGATACTTGTTAGAGGAGCAGGATATGCTATACATGAGAAAGGAAAACAGATTACTATCAACAACAACAAAAAAACAGATTATTGAATTTATTACATTCAATTCTCATTTTACAAACAAACATTAGGTATAAATATCACTCAATCAGTTCTTAGGGGAAAGTGAGAGACTTTTTTTTCTCTTTTTGAGACAGGGTCTTATTCTGTTGCCCAGGCTGGAGCACAGTGGTGGGATCTCGACTCACTGCAACCTCTGCCTCTCGGGTTCAAGCAATTCTCCTGCCTGAGTCTCCCAAGTAGCTGGGATTACAGGCATGCGCCACCACACCTGGCTAATTTTTGTATTTTTAGTAGAGATAGGGTTTCACCCTTTTGGCCAAGCTGGTCTTGAACTCCTGACCTCAGGTGATCTGTCCAACTTGGCCTCCCAAAGTGCTGGTATTACAGGCATGAGCCACCACACCCAGCCAAGAGATAATGTTAACACTTACTGTATAGCTATGTATCTACTAGATGCTACATTGAAACTCAGAACTATGTATGCATTATCTTAAATTCAACAACAACCTAATGAGTAAGTGTGTCTATACTATTTCATAAATGAGAAAGTTGAGACACAGAAATTAATCAACTTGCTCATAGTGACTAAGTTAATAATTAGTGAAACAGGTTTGAAATTAGGCTTGTCTGATTCCAAAGTATTTCATCTTTTCGTTATATATCTTGTTTTCATAAAATTATAGGGGGTGAAAATTATGATAGTTGGTTAGAACTCTATAAATTTCTGATAATTTAAAGAGAAATACAGAGAACTAAAGACTTTTAAGGCATATATAATTAATATTCAATTGTACTAATTTATGAATGGTAGCAAACTTTAAAGTTCTTGGTTCAGCATGATAAAAGAAGAATACAGATGAGTCAGGGAAACCAATACACAAAAAGGGGAGGCCAAGTTAGGCAGATCACCTAAGGTCAGGAGTTCAAGACCAGCCTGACCAACATGGAGAAACCCTGTCTCTACTGAAAACACAAAAATTAGCCAGGCATGGTAGAGGGCGCCTGTAATCCCAGCTGCTCAGGATGCTGAGGTAGGAAAGTATCTTGAACCTGGAAGGTGGAGGTTGCAGTGAGTCGAGATCACTCCACTGCACTCCAGCCTGGGCAACAGAGCAAGACTCCATCTCAAAAAATAAAAATAAAATAAAACAATAAAATTACTATTTTTGAGACAGTTACTTTCAGTCTTTATTCTTGGGACTTTAACTTTCACATTAGCTTTTTCAAATGTACATTACCTCTGTAACAAAATACACACATACACAAACGCACGCATGCGCGTGGGCGCGCGCGCACACACACACACACACACACACACACACACCCCAAGTTCACATCTAGAAAGACATAGGCAGCAATAATGTCAAAATGCCAGTCTATGTAAAATCCAGCAAAACAGAAATAATTCAGAAAAGTGCTGAGGTGAATTAACTTCTAAGTATAACTGACAGTTTCCCCTCATTACCACTAAAAAGCTTCCTCGAAGCTTTGCAGTTCCAATCCCTGTGATTTATGAGAAGTCCTTCGTATTGCTCCGTGATTCTCCAACCCTCAGTGTGAGAAAACCAGACTTACTATCTAGAAGTGCTACTGGTAAAAATACTGGCCATACTTACAGACACGTTCCATAGTAATTTGATTAGCTAGTTTGTTGCCCTAATCTTTCTTAAGCTCTTTGGTTCACACAGTACAAAACCTGAGATGCAAATTAAATTTTGTTATTTTTCCCACAAGTTAATAGCATCACATATGTAAATCCTGAATCGTAAGAAATCCCCATTCCCAAAATCACAGCTTAATAATATTTGCCAAATAGATTATCCATTCTCTCAATTTGTCTATTGTGAAATAGTAATCACCGTTTTTATAGCTTCTCAATATTTAATTTTCCGCCAAGAAAATCTCTACCAAATTATATTGGAATCAAATGTCTTAAAAGTTCATTAGATGTGATGTACTTCAAATGCAATAAATATAATTTTTCTTGAAAAAAGTCAGAGATAAAAAATATGGTGGGAATTCAAAAAAGTTTAACATTAGAAATAATTCTAATTCAGAAAGAACCATATATATAAACATCATAGCAGCTTTAGAATCACCATTGTGTCAAGGGTAGATAATATACACACATGCACATATACATAAATGATACAGGCTATGTCACTTTTGAGAGACAAACATCAGAATATAAAAATAAGAGGCCGGGCGCGGTGGCTCAAGCCTGTAATCCCAGCACTTTGGGAGGCTGAGGCGGGTGGATCACGAGGTCAAGAGATCGAGACCATCCTGGTCAACATGGTGAAACCCCGTCTCTACTAAAAATACAAAAAATTAGCTGGGCATGGTGGCGCGTGCCTGTAATCCCAGCTACTCAGGAGGCTGAGGCAGGAGAATTGCCTGAACCCAGGAGGCGGAGGTTGCGGTGAGCCGAGATCGCGCCATTGCACTCCAGCCTGGGTAACAAGAGCGGAACTCCGTCTCAAAAAAAAAAAAAAAAAAAGAATATAAAAATAAGAATAATCGAGCTTAGAAAAGCACTACAATTTTTAAGTACTTCCTTCTCTAAAAATAGTTAGCTTTTAACTGTGGTCAGTACCTGAAAACAACAGCACCGCTGACCCGAAAATCCTTTATGTTTGGCTTTATGACGTAGAAAAATTGAGAGAGGCAATGATTTATGTTCTTAATACATAGGCAACATAACAACTCCCAACAGTATATGCTTTTAAGAAAATTTTAATAAAAGTAATTAACACATGTTGAACACCCCAAATCTGAAAACCTAAAATCCAAAATGCTCTAAAATCTGTAAGTTTTTTTTTTTTGAGACAGAGTCTTGCTCTGTTACCCAGGCTGGAATGGAGTGGCACGATCTCGGCTCACTGCAAATCTGCCTCCTGGGTTCAAGTAATTCTCCTGCCTCAGTCTCCCAAGTAGCTGGAATTATAGATGCCTGCCACCTTGCCTGGCTAATTTTTGTATTTTTAGTAGAGACAGAGTTTCATCACATTGGCCAGGCTGTTCTTGAACTCCTGACCTCAAGTGATCTGCTCACCTTGGTCTCCCAAAGTGCTGGGATTACAGGTGTGAGCCACCATGTCTGGCCTGTAACTTTGTTGAATGCCAAAGTAATGTTCAAAAGAAATGCTCACTGGAGTATTTCAGATTTTGGATTTGGGATGCTCAACTGGTATGTATTCTGTGAATATTCCAAAATCTGAAAAAGTCCGAAATCCAAAAAACTGATCCAATAGATTTCAGATATAGCACACTCAATCTGTACTGTTTTCTGTTTTTTTGTTTGTTTGTTTGTTTTGTTTTTTGTTTTTTGTTTTTTGTTTTTTGAGACGGAGTTTCACTCTTGTTACCCAGGCTGGAGTGCAATGGCACGACCTCGGCTCACCACAACCTCCGCCTCCTGGGTTCAGGCAATTCTCCTGTCTCAGCCTCCTGAGTAGCTGGGATTACAGGCACGCACCACCATGCCCAGCTAACTTTTTGTATTTTTAGTAGAGACGGGGTTTCACCATGTTGACCAGGATGGTCTCGATCTCTTGACCTCGTGATCCACCCGCCTCGGCCTCCCAAAGTGCTGGGATTACAGGCTTGAGCCACCGCGCCCGGCCCTGTTTTCTGTTTTGTTCTCAAATTTAAGAAGAAAAGTTTTAGGTAATAAAATAACTTACGAACATCTAAAAACTTGAAGACATACCACAGTTATCTAGATGAACCTGGTAGAAGGGAGTTGTATTCGAACTTTAAAAGCATAGCAAAACAAATGTAGTTCCATTAATCCACTAAAATTGATTTAATGATTCCCTGAAAGTCTTATTTTACATTCAGTATATTTGAAAATATGCAATTTAACTTATGACTCTAAAACTCACCGTTATATTCTGCACCCAATCTCAACATTAAACGCATAGGAAAAACCTTTGCCCAGGGAATCTCAAGCTTCTGGATAAGAATTCCACAAAGAAAAGGATTACTTGGTAATGGGAGATCATCAAGTTTCTGAAAAGTAGGTGTAATAAACAGGAATCCGCCATGATCCTTGCTATCAAGAAAACTCTCAGTAAAGGTAATATTGTCCAAGTTTTCTACGTATTTTCCTGCAAATAAATTCATTAGTAAAAAGATTTTAAGTTGTTTCATTACTGTTTTTGAAGACATGCCTGGAGTTTGAATGTCCCAATATAAACTGTCTTAAGACACTATAGAATTTTTTCCTTACTTCTGTTCTTGCAAAAGAATCTACTGAATACCTTCGGTACACAAAGCTCCAAGTTATTCCTGAATATTGGGAATTATGAACAAAAATTGGAAAATATTTCCAACCTTTCCATTTTTCTCCTTACTGCATGGTCAAGTGAAAAATTACCATATCTCCCAGTCTTATAATGAAAGTAAGTAAATTACATAGACACATTAAAAAATCAAGGAGGCAGGCTGGGCACAGTGGCTCATGCCTGTAATCCCAGCACTTTGGGAGACTGAGGTGGGTGGATCACTTGAGGTCAGGAGTTCTAGACCACCCTGGCCAGCATGGTGAAACCCCTCATCTACTAAAAATACAAAAATTAGCTGGGCATGATGGCCCATGCCTGTAATCCCAACTACTTGGGAGGCTGAGTTAGAAGAATCTCTTGAACCCAGGAAGCAGAGGCTGTAGTAAGCCAAGATCGTGCCATTGCACTCCAGCCTGGGTGGCAGAGAGACACACTGTCTCAAAAAAAAAAAAAAAAAAAAAACCACAAGGATATATTTCCATTTTTAAAATATAAAAATTTGCATATAAACACTAACCACATAAAATGCTAGTTTTAAGGAAACAAAATAATTAAGATCTTTTCAGAAATCAGCAATCTCTTCACAAAAATAAATCTTTAAAATAGCTAGCACAGTGAAATGCATAAATGCCTTTAAATGATTTATCCATTTCCTAGTCTGAACAATTTAAAATAAAATGCCATACCTTTTAGAGCATCCTTATATATGGTGATAAATAGTCTGAAGATGTCCTTAGGAATAGTATCTTCATTTGGCAAACATAACAATAGAATAATAATTTCTGCCTGTCCCAAGCCATGCAATCCATTGGTTGAGAAGTACCAATATTTGTCTGAGGAATCTTAGATGATAAAAGAATACAACTATTAATGTCAACTTCTATTAACCAAAAAACTAAGAAAAATTGTTTTTGCATTTAACACAACTTTTCAAATTCCTTGTGTTCCCAAAGTTCTCCTCATGAAAATCTTAAATTGAATTGTATAAAATTCATATAAAGTAAGAAAAAGGATTATCTTAGGGAGTCAATTAATAAATAACACTAAAATAAAAGATGCACTAAATGCTGAAATGTAGTGGGTAAGAATTTAGTTTTAAATAGAATGAAAAGCTGATAGATGCATTACTGAGTAGTAAGGATTATTAAGAATTCCTTCCTTCCTTTGTAATTAGGTCACATGTCTCTTACTTAAAAAAACTGTCTTTATTGCTACTAAATCAGTATTCCTGCTTATTTCAGTTATCAAATTTCAATTTATCTATAAGCCATAGGAGATATAGTCAATTGTATCATGAGTATCAACATACAGCTCAGCTATCTAAGCCCACGACCTTAACCTAAGATTGACTGAGGGATGTTAATAAAACTCTGTAAGCTTGTGTTTCAAGTCCCACTGAACATAAATTTGCAAAATTTATTTATAGTCATATCTGGCTGAAAAACCAATATCCAATGCTGCTTATTTTTCACCACTGCCAGTCAGAATCTAACCTGAAGATGTAATTAATTCAGAAATCCTGCTTACCAATTAAGCAAATAAAGACAAATTATTACTTACAAAATATGAATTTGACATTCACGAGTAGATTAGCATTTAGGACAAATGTAACAGGAGGAGATCCTTCACCTTCAAGAAGCAAAATGATCTGCTCATGAGACGGATGTTCTTCTACTACAGACACTAAATGATGAAAGTAATATATTAATCAGGATAAATATCCTATTAAATATGCTTACAAATCAAGAAAACAAATTTATAAATCCACCAGTGGCCTGATCAAATTTAAAAACAAAAGCAAACATGTTTCATAAAAATCAATCAATACCCCAGACAACTGTTATATACTAATTTTTACTTTTTTTCATGTAAAGTTGTTAATACTGTAATGCAAATACTGTATTACACATAGTATATTTATAATATATTGATTAAACAGTAAATGCATACAATTTTAGCGTCTTCAAATTTTTAAGACAAATGCTTTTATAAAGTGGATTCCAGTTTGGTAGACACTCCATTTATCATTTTTGAAATTTATAAGTCTGTGAAAGTTGTCTAGACCCACATTATATATGCTGCTGGCTACCGCATGCCTGTATCAGCTGCTTGCTACCATATGCCTCTATCAGTGAACAGGTAGCAAAAAAAAAAAAAAAAAAATTCTTGACGATCAATAGAAAGATATGCACGGCATGCAAAGAACAGGGTTCACTGTATTCTGTATTTTTGCCACTACAGCTAGGTTCATGTAATGGCTCCCACTGACAGAACAGAAATCCTAAGCTTCAATCATACATTATTACACAGAGAACCACCATTTCATGTTGCAGAATGTGATATAATGCCTGGAGTGACAAGTGTCTATCCTAGGAAACCACTCTGAGGCAGGGGTTAGCCACAGAATCTCCTGCTTGAAAAGGACCTTAGAAATCATCTAGGTTCTATTTAAAAAAGAAACCGAGGCCCAAGGAGATTAAGTAACACACTGCAAGTCATAGATGCAACAAATAGCAGAAAAGGAACTAAAATTCCTAGCTTTGCCATCCAATCTAATGTTCTTTTCTTTAGGTACCACGCTCCTGAAAAAAAAAAATAGTAATAATGTGGTGTCAAAATTCCAATACAATGGAAATATTTCTTTGGGCTAAAAGTCTATGAGCTTCCCTATCATATTAGACTTTTCCTCATTCGAAATTAGGGAGTCAGATGTGATAAATGGATCATAGATGTTCAGATATTTTTAGGATTTGTTTTTATATAGTAAGACTTTCTGTAAACAAAAGATACCAGCCTAGTACATACTGCAACCAAACTAAGTTTAAAAAAATATATTTCATATGTCACAGACAAAATTCATCAGCATTTAAAAAAAATCTTCTAAAATTTAAATAACTGCTTTCCTACCTGATCCCTTTTCTCCAGATGCAACCAGAAGTGGGGGCAAATTGTCCTCATCATTAGGTAGAAGACTAATCTTATTGCAAACATACTTGTTAATACCACACAGTAACCTATAATCTGAAATACTAGCAATAGGTAAATTGCTGTTAACTAAGACACCGGTGGGACTAGATGATTCTTCAGTTTCTGCAAAAACATCATCATCTAGTGTAAATGAACTAGAAGTAGGTAACCCCTCATTTCCTGTGTTTACAGGCAATTTTTCCATAGGTAACCCCTCATTTCCTGTGTTTACAGGCAATTTTTCCACTGATGGAACCTGAGAAATAGGACTCCGAATTATCTCATTTCTTGTAATATCTCCTATCTCATTGTTTGGCTTTTCCACTGTAGTAGAATGGGAATGATCCACTGTGTCTACTATCTGTAAAACATGGAACAAAAAAATTAACAAATAAGTTCATATTCTCTGTTCAACTGAAATGTGATCACTATAGTTAAATATATCTTTTTATAAGAATAAATAAAAACCAAAACGGGTTGAGAAATTCTCATAAAGTCAAATTTCCCAAGAAATAGTACGATTTTGCTTCTTCAAATTCAGGAGCATAAGGTATTAAGAAGCATAGGGTTTTCGTTTTACTGCATGCTCAGGTATGTATTAATGACTTAATATTAACATTGGGAAAAATGAGGCAAGAAGAACTTCAAGATACCATACCATATCACACAGTGAGCAAGCTTAGTTCAACCCAAGGCTCTCCCCTCCTTATGATAGCCAAAAACCCTTGGGTACTTAGTGGGGAGGGACAAGGCAGGAAGAACAGGAGGGGAGTGGTTAGGAAGCCACCCCCTAGCTATATTCCACAAGAGTAACCACCTGGAATAAACTATATAAAGTCTACTTCAATAAAGCCTTTTTCTTTTTAGACTGTATGAAGTCAGTATTAAATAAGAACCATTTATGAACTCAATTAATATTTATTAGCCTGTTCACAGTTTTCATTAATATAGATTGACAGTAGGTGCTAGCTAGGAAACATACCCATGGTAATTACGGCTATTTGTAAAATCTGGCTCATGAACTCTTGACAAACAGCATATGTTTCTACCAGATGTAAACTTCAACAGAGCTGATAAGTATCCATCTTTTACCTTTTTTTTTTTTTTTTGAGACTGAGTCTTACCCTGTTGCCCAGGCTGCAGTGCAGTAGCGTAATCTTGGTTCACTGCAACCTCTGCCTCCTGGATTCAAGTGATTCTTTTGCCTCGGCCTCCCCTAGTAGCTGGAACTACAGGCATGTGCCACCATGCCTGGCTAATTTTTTGTTTGTTTGTTTGTTTTGTTTTTTGAGAGAGAGTTTTGCTCTGTCACCAGGCAGGAGTGCAGTGGTGTGGTCTGGGCTCATTCAACCTCTGCCTCCTGGGTTCAGGTGATTCCCCTGCCTCAGCCTCCTGAGTAGCTGGGACTACAGGTGCCTGCTACCACACCTGGCTAATTTTTGTATTTTTAATAGAGACGAGGTTTCACCATGTTGGCCAGGATGGTCTCAATCTCCTGACCTCATGATCCACCCACCTCAGCCTCCCAAAGTACTGGGATTACAGGTGTAAGCCACCATGCCCAGCCAATTTTTGAACTTTTTTTTGTAGAGATGGGATTTTGCCATGTAAGTCAGGCTGTCACCAACTCCTGAACTCAGAAGATCCGCCCACCTTGGCCTCCAAAAGTGCTGGGATTACAGGTGTCAGCCACCATACCCGGCCTATGTCCATCCTTTCTAGTACATGTACCCAGGATCAACCAGGTGACTGGCACAGAGGAGATGCTCAATAAATCTGTTTAATGCATAAAACATTCCTAATTTATACAATACTTGCTTCTATGAGTATGTGCCACTCTATGAGAATTCTTAGTGATCTGGGATTCTACATTCTATATCTTCTGTTTAACACCTAGCACATTTATGTAAATGTAAGCATAAATATCATCACATACTTTCTTGAATGTTTGAAAATAATTAAATAAATATTAGTCTAAATTAAATTACTAAATCTCAGTTACATTTCCTCATACCAGTGGCTGTCAAAATGTGGTCCAGAGATCCCTTGGGGTTCCCAAGACCCTTTTAGGGAGTTGGTGAGGTCCTAGGTTTTTTTCATTTAATTTATCAAAAATAACATACACAACACACTGAATGTAGAACCAGATGTGAGAATATGTTTGTCTTCTATTAAGTCAGACATTAAAGAAATTGGCAAAAATGTAAAACAATCCCACTATTCTCACTAAACTTTTGAAAAAAATTTTCATAAAAAATTATTTCTGCTAATGTAACAGCCTTATTCTGCAATTAGTTAATAAATATTTTTTAAATTTCTGAATTTTAATTTTAATGTAATAATTATCAATAGGTATAACCCTTAAACCCTACAGTGCTTTAGGGTTCTTAATAACTTTTAAGAGTATAAAGGGGTCCTGAGGCCAAAAGTATGAGAACCAGTCCCTTAAACTGGTATTTAAAACAGGCAAAATCTGGGCCAGGCGCAGTGGCTCACACCTATAATCCCAGCACTTTGTGAGCCAAAGTGGGCAGAAAACTTGAGGTCAGGAGTTTGATACCAGCCTGGGCAAAATAGTGAGATCTCATCTCTTAAAAAAAAAAAAGTAATTAAAAAAAAAATTTTTTTTAACAGTAAAGTCTAAACCAGGCATGGTGGCTCACACCTGTAATCCCAGCTACTTGGGAGGCTGAGGTGGAAGCATCACTTGAGCCCAGGAATTAAAAGGCTGCAGTTAAGTGGTAATTATGCCACTGCACTTTAGCCTGGACAACACAGCAAGACTGTCTCTGTCACCAGGCTAGAGTGCAGTAGTGTGATCTCAGCTCACTGCAAACTCTGCCCCTCCAGGTTCAAGCGATTCTCCTTCCTCAGCCTCCTGAGTAGCTAGGACTGCAGGTGCACACCACCACACTCAGCTAATTTTTGTATTTTTAGTAGAGACAGGGTTTCACCATGTTGGCCAGGATGGTCTTGATCTCTTGAAAGGATGGTCTTGATCTGCCCACCTCGGCCTCCCAAAGTGGTGGGATTACAGGCGTGAGCCACTGCACCCAATCTCTGTTTTTTTTAAAGGGGGTTAAATTTAAAATATATTCACTCTATCAATCCAGCTCTTATTTTAGGAAATTCAAAGTGTTAAAAAAGAAAAAAAGGTACTCTAGTAATCATACCAGGAATCATCTACAAAATAAAATTTTATTTAGTCAATAAGTTATTCTTTGAATTCCTTACCACAGGCATATCGGGTGAGAGAGGACTAAAGTCTTCAGAACATCGTTTACTTCCAGATGATAATTTTGTTGTATCTGCAACTTCACCATTGGGCAATATACCATCTGCAAACCATACTCTTTTCTGTTCTTTGGAGCATGGTCCTAGAATCAATTGAAAAAGTAAAACATTTCAATCTGCTAATATTGCAATGATTTAATGCCAAATAGATCAGGAAATGTTTTCAAAAGCCTTTTGCTATCGATTGGCAACCCCTGAATTCTCAGGGCTACAAAGGTCTAGAGAAATAGCGTTTTGTGATTCATCTGCCCCGAGTGGAGTCTGTTTCTATCTAATTCATACAAGAGGCGCATATTAGACCAGGAGTGGCCCTAGAAATCATGAATTTTACTATTTTACTATGAAAAGGAATGAACAGGAAATCTATCTAATTCATAGCATATTAGACCAGAGGTGGCACTGGGTATCACTCTGAAGAGGAGTGGACAGGAGAGATTATACCTTAAAGACAAAGGGGGAAGAAGATTTAAAGCCTGTATTATTGAGGGTAAGTTTGCGTGAGTATGGAGAAAAGACTGTATAAAATTTAGGGCCTAAGCTACAGTGATGAAAACTGGAGTGGACTGAAGCATATATATATAGCTTATATATATCTATTCTTCATATATATATATATAGACATTTAAAAACTTAAAAAAGGTTAACAGGATCACTTGAGATTTCTTAATATCACAGGACATTTCTTTTTTTTTTTTTTTTTTTTTTTTTTTTTTTGAGGCGGAGTTTCGCTCTTGTTACCCAGGCTGGAGTGCAATGGCGCGATCTCGGCTCACCGCAACCTCCGCCTCCTGGGTTCAGGCAATTCTCCTGCCTCAGCCTCCTGAGTAGCTGGGATTACAGGCACGCACCACCATGCCCAGCTAACTTTTTGTATTTTTAGTAGAGACGAGGTTTCACCTTGCTGACCAGGATGGTCTTGATCTCTTGACCTCGTGATCCACCCACCTCGGCCTCCCAAAGTGCTGGGATTACAGGCTTGAGCCACCGCGCCCGGCCAGGACATTTCTTACTACCACAAGACATATCTTACTTTTATTTAACAAGAGAAGCATAACATTTTTTTTATTCTTATAATGTGGATACTGAACTTTATTAATACAGATTAATATTTCCTTCCAAATTTGAAAGAAGTAACTAGATATCAACATAAACATTTTTCTCTTTTCTTACAAAGCATCCATAGAGAAAGGTTATGAAAATCTCTGCCAGATGATTTTACAACAGTATTTTTTAAATAAACAAAGATTCAATGTCTACTTTCCAGAACACAATAAACACTGAAAAAATTGGAATTATATATATATTTTATATATATATATATATATATATATATATCAATGTAGTTAGACATGTTCAATATCTTTCTTGTATTTGCAACATTTTTATAATTTAATCACTTTGGTTACCAATGTAAGACTATGTACATATTTTTAAACACAGATTTATTCATCTTTAGAGCTATAATATACAACATATAATGCTAAGTCTCATTTCATTATAATAAATGAAAAACAGCTACCGAGTAATAAATTTAAGTCCATAAAAATAGAAGGATCCAAGTTTCCTTTAACTGACATTTATCGTTCTTTTCTAGCATGTTACAGACTAATAATTCATATTTAAAGACATACATGTGCTTTACTCAAGATGCTAAGTGATGACGGGTTGGAAAAAAGAACAGGTAACTCAAAGATTTAAAAACAGATTTTAAAAACATTGCTGTGGTAAAATAAACAATTAAAAATAGATTTTTAATGAAAAGGAGATAGGACAATTATTTACCTATTGCCTCTCAAACCCAAGCTCACCCTCTACACTGGGCTCTTGGATGCCAGGTTGGAAGTCTGGAAACTGCAATTTCCAGACTCTCTTGTTACTGGCTTTGGTCAGGTTTTTCCAATAGCAGGCACTGGTGGGAGACCATAAGGTGGGAAGAAATGAGAAGGAATTCTTCGTTTCTGGTTCCTGCAAGGATCTTTGCAGCAGCACCACCAACAGATACAGCTGCTGGACTCATGATTTTCAGTACTCTTAACATCAAATCTGGAGCTCTACTTCAGTCATCTGAGCACCAACTCTATGAGGCCTCTTGATGGTGCCATGACCATGGCTTCTGACTCCCACATCTGATATCCAAGCACCTCCTGGTTCTCCTGCACCGAGCTCTAGCCTCTCCCCTTTTGTAGCCCCAAACTCCAGTTATAACAGTTGCTTCCTACAGTTACTAACTGCTGAGGCACTGGAGCACAGCCTTTTTGCTCTTCCAGTCTTCCAGCCTGCATGTGAAACCAATTCCCTGTATTAAATCCCTCTTGATATCTAGTCTGGTTTCTCTTTCCTGACTAGACTCTGGCTACACTATAGAATTTCTATTTCAGTAATTTATCTTTAGTCTAAGACACAGCATTTTCTCCTATTACCTTCAACACTTGGTTGTTTAAGTGCTGAGATCGGCAAAGTTGTTGGTGAAGGTATACTGGATGTTTGGTTTTCCTGAGGAGGCTGGGCAGTAGCACATTCATCAGAATGGTTAGATTTAAGATTAAGATTAGAACCAGTTGGACTCATCATCCTTTCAAATGCCTGAGCTATAAAGGGGAAAACAATAGTGTTAAAATCTCAGATGTTTTTGTAATGTACTTCCAAGCAAATTACAATCTCTATTTTTTAAGTTGTAAGGAAAAAGAAAGAAATGGCTAATCAAGAAAAAGTAGTAGCACTTGGCAAAGATGCTGTCTGAGTAGCTAGCACAGGCTCTTTTTTTTTTTTTTTAATTGTACTTTAGGTTCTGGGGTACATATGCAGATCATGCAGGATTGTTGCATAGGTATACACATGGCAATGTGGTTTGCCGCGTCCATCCCCCATCACCTACATCTGACATTTCTCCCCATGTTATCCCTCCCTAACCTCCCCACCTGCTCCTCACTGTCCCTCCCTTGTCCCCCGCAAGAGACCCCAGTGTGTGATGCTCCCCTCCCACTGTCCATGTGTGGCAGCATGCCACTTTGATAAGCTACTGATAAGTTATTTCAATATTATATCTGGTGAATGTTTGATATCCACAGAGAATAACCCTTATTTAACATGACTGTCTCTGTTTTTGCCCTTGTACTCCTAGAGTCTATTTCCAACATAGTTTAGAGAGATTCTTTTAGACATAAATCATATCTCATCATTCCTCTGCTTAAAATCCTTTAATGGCTAAAGTGAAAATTTAAGTTATTACAATGGCTCACAAGATCCAACATAATTAGCATCCCTTCCTCCTCTACTTTCCCAGGTACCTGTTTGACCTCCTCCCTCACTACAACCCCACTCATTCACTATGCCAGCCACCCAGAGCTCCTCGCTCAAGTAAGTACTCCTCCAGCTTAGAGCTTTCGCTCTTATTATTCCCTTGGCCTACAATGTTCTTTTCATAGGTACTTACACAGCTTTATTTTCTCACTTCCTTCAAGACTCTGCTCATGTCATATTACCATAAAGCCTTATTCTGATCACCTTATAAAAAATATTACCTAAGGTCAGGCACAGTGGCTCATGCCTACAGTCCCAACACTTTGAGAGGCCAAATCAGGTGAATCACTTGAGCTCAGGAGTTTGAGACTAGCCTAGGCAACATGGTAAAACCCCCGTCTCTACCAAAAATACAAAAAGTTAGCTGGGTGTGGTGATATGTGCCTGTGGTCCCAACTACTCGGGAAGCTGAGATGGGAGGGCTGTTTGAGCCTAGGAGGTTGCAGTGAGCTGAGATCACACCACTACACTCCAACCGCAGTGACAGGGTGAGACTCCAACTAAAGAAAAAAAAATTCCTTTTGTCACTAATCTATAAACTATCACTCTACACTTTTTAAATTTTTTAATTTAGGGCATTATCACCATCTGATATATTTTTGCTTACTATCCATCTCTACATACATTCATAAATTTCATGAAAATAAGGCTTCTATTTTGCTCTCAGCTTCAACTTCAGAATGCAGAATAGTACCTGGGTACTGCTGAATGATCCTTCATCCAAAAAACAAGGAACAACACTGATAGCTCTCCCTTCAGCATTTCTCCAAACTGATCTGCTATAAATGTTGCCATTGCTAAAATATTCCTCAAGTGCCACTGAATGATGGCACTTATAAAATGGCTTCCATTAACCAAGTGAAATCCAAACACCTTACTCTGGATTTCAAAGTAATTTCTAACTTGCCCCAAATCTACTTATTGATATTCACATGCGTGCTTCCTTGAAACTCATGTAATCGCAGGACAGCTTTCTCATTATTCGCAATCTCTATTCAAATTATCTTTTTCCTCCAATCCTTCATGGAATGTGTCTCACAACCCATGAACCATCTTTCTCTTCTTGTTTAATATCATTAATTTAAATGATCACTTCTATTATTTTCTACCCTAATGTTGATATTAACTTTTATTTATGCCTTCTTGTGGCATATAAATTAATGATAAATAGCACTGTAGATGAAACTATACGCTATTAAGATATCAAAAAGGAATAAATTTAAACAGGTAACTAAATAAGCTCATTCCACAGTATTTTCTTTGAAAATCCAAAGCTTGATCTCAGTATGCCACTGAATGTCTTTAATAACCATATCTTCTCCCCTCCTGGACCCTCAGTCAAAATATGCCTGAATGCTCACCCAAAAATCTGACCTTTCAACATAAATAACATTTCAAATCTTCACGGGTGTTTAATTTCTTTTTAAGTGGGGGAGATAATTATGTGGGAGCTTGCTCTAAAATTTCTGAATTCTAGCAGATTCCCTTGGCTAACAGCACCGGCAGTCATCTTCTAGGCTACTGAAACAGTTTAAGAAAAAACAAAACAACTATAAGCGCTTAAACTAACCTCTTCATAAACAATGGTGGTAACATGGAAATATAAAAAGATTTACACTTTGTTATCTTCCAGAGCAGAGGTCAACATCAGGGAGAAGAGCAGCTTACCTCAGGCTAACAGACTCACATCAGAGATTTTTGAAGAATTGCTGAAAAAATTTATCTTCGTTCAAAAGAGAAAAACAAATTATTATCGGGTATTCATTCCCCTGGCTAACAGGACGCAGTGCCTGAGCTAGTGCATAGGTCTGGTCAAAGAAGGCCCAAGTAATATTTGCTGGGAATTAAACTGTCAACAAATCTTTAAAAATGCCACGTGGTACTCAAAAGAACAAACATGGATTTGGGGAAAAAACACAACACACACCCTGTGAGAACTCAAAGACCACCGAGACTATTGCTAATAATTGTAGCTAGAGAGCCAGAGAAATAATGGGAAGTGTACATATGCAAAATTCTGAAGTTGACAAAGGAAAAAAAATGAGACAGAAATGTGCAAATAGTGTGGCAGTCTGATGAATTTATAAAATCGTAAATATTACCACCTTATCTTATACTTCCATTTTAGGTTATTTTCTAAAGGGTACAAACTAGTATCTTGCCCTGTGCTATTAATAAATAATATTCAGTACTACTTGATAGGTATCTACAAGTGTTTATTTAGATTAAGATGATGAACATGACAATGATAATGACAAAAACAAATAGGCAGATGAAATGCAGCATTTAGGGACTTGGTACCTGTTAAAAGTTAATGAATTGCCACTCCAGAAATTGAATGCTTCCTTTCCAGATTGGTAGTATTAATTGTGAGAGTGGAACAAAAAGAAGAGAAACCAAGCCTTGGGATGTCCCACCTAAGCCAGATAATTCAACACTAGGTCCCTGCCTTAAGAAAATAAAGAAGTTTATCTTTGTCATCACAATCCAATTAAATTTAAGATATATTCAATTACTGGAAGAAAATATGTCAAGTTAATACTCACCTTTACTAATAGTTTCATAGCAGACTACACATACTCTTGCTTCCTTTTCTAGATATTGCAGTTTACACTTCCTATTACAACAGACACCACAAAATACCTATAAAGAATAAAATGTCAAATTTGTTTTTGTTTCAAGAATGTTTACAATTACTAGAGGCGGTGTGAGGAGGTTCTAAACCTAATTAACAAAAACTCATTTTCCTTATTATATAAATCATTTTCCTAATCACTCTAATCCTAGGTGGAGTTCTTAAATGATTTCTTTTTTGTTTGTTTGTTTGTTTGTTTTTTTGAGACAGAGTTTCGCTCTTGTTACCCAGGCTGGAGTGCAATGGTGCAATCTTGGCTCACCGCAACCTCCGCCTCCTGGGTTCAGGCAATTCTCCTGCCTCAGCCTCCTGATTAGCTGGGATTACAGGCACGCGCCACCATGCCCAGCTAATGTTTTGTATTTTTAGTAGAGACGGGGTTTCATCATGTTGACCAGGATGGTCTTGATCTCTTGACCTCGTGATCCACCCGCCTCGGCCTCCCAAAGTGCTGGGATTACAGGCGTGAGCCACCTCGCCCAGCCCTCTTTTTTTTTTTGTAACTTACATAAGACTTCTGCAATTTGATACCATATTTCCGATAAGGAGAATTCTTAAATCAATTCTGTTCACTAGAAAGGGAACAAAAACTATCTGTAATGAATAAGTTTATAATATTAAAAAGTTCTCTGTAGTTCTTTAAAACGTCTTAAAGTAAAATATTTTGCTAAAAAAATAGCGCTGATCTGAAACCAATGTTATTACTGAAAAATCTGAATAAAAAATGTTATAGGATTTCAAAAGGCAATCCTTACAGTTTATAGACAATCTTTTTTATCTTGACTGCTATCAGACAGTCAGATCTCAAGGTCAGCTTCAATATTCTGAATGCTGTGCAAGTCAAATTGCTCTGGAGTGATCACAACACTAGCTGTAGACTGGTCTTGAAATTAAATATTTGAGGACAAAGGTGAATGTGACCAAATCTGGAATATTTAATGTGTCAATATTAGAGAGATAAGAACATTCTTAAATTTCACAAAAATTAGTAATTGTTTCTCATTTCCCAGCATGTAATTAATACCTCTGATAATGTAACATTTATTCAACCATCAAGCAATCTGCAAAATGACACTGCTTTATATATTTTCCTGACTGGTAGATGAAAAACACTGATTTTAAACTAACCCATCTTGTAATTATCTGTTAATCAGCATTTTCTATCGCATTATATTTGTTTAAAATGTCTCAAAAGAACAAAAGACTTAAAGATTTTTATAACTTACTTTCCCACATGCTCGGCAATGGTGTCGCCGTTTTGTAAAAGTAAATTTGACTTGGCAGTTCATACAGTTTGGAGCTTCTGAATCAGGAACCCAAGTAGGCTGTTTCTGGCCCAAAACCAAGCCTTCTTTGCAAGTGTTTTCAGGTAGAGAATCTTCATTTGCAGTTACAAAACTAGATCCACCTTCAGAATTACTTTCTATATCGATGTAATTAGAGTTGAAGCTAACCTGAGGATCAGCTGCAGAATCTATAGCACAAGCGATTGGAACAATGGTATCTGCTATGCTAGGTTCACTTTCTATTGTATTTGGAACATCTGGCTTATTCAGGTCCTTTGAACTCCTTGTTCTTGATGGAAGGTTAAACAATTGCTTAGGTCTGGCCCCTCCAACAGACTGACTATTAGTATCGGAGACTGATAATTCATTTGTAATCTCAGACTTACTGGTAGGTAACCCTTGTTCAATTAGAATTGTACTTTTTTCTCCTAAAGAAAGGCGATTTTCTATTGTATTTTGTTTATCAACTGTTTCACAAATTGTGTTAATACCATGACCTTCCCCAATAGCTCCTGCCTCTGCATTGAAATATATATTATTGATGTTTCCATTATCTAAGCCTTTCATATCTATCTGATTCATTTGCGATTTAGAGTCATTTACATTTTCTTCGAAAGACTTTATGTTAGTGGTCTGAAGATACTGTTCTGTCAGAAAGGCATCAAGTTCAGCATCACTAATTAGTGTGCCACTTTTTGCACCTTCATCAATATTAAAGTAATCTAAGTCTTGCCCGTCCATAACATTGCTTGAAAAAGTATTAATAAAACCTTCACAACAATCAGAAGACTCTGGGACATTAGTGCCAGAAAATCCCTCTTGAGTTTCTACAGCTGTAGAACTGGTGTCACCACCATCCAAAGACTCAACTCTGATGACTGTCTGGTCAGGATCTACCTTTCTGTTTTCCATCCCTTCAATTAACGGCTGAAGAAGTATGTTTTTACATTTTTCCTGTTTCAAAAGATCAGTCTCCTCAAATGGTTCCCCATCTAGAGCAACACTCTTCTGTACTTCTTCATGTATAGTCACTGCATCTTGTATATTATCTTTATGTTCACGCTGAGGTAAAAAATCACCCTGTGCTTTACTTTCAATTAGTGATCCACACATAGTCCCAGATACCAACAGACAGGACAATGAGGACTGTACATCTTCACTTGAAACATGTAAAGCTGGAGAGGAATCCTGGATTATTTCATTATCTGTAAGGTCTAAATTTCTTGAGTCTTCTTGTGCAGATTGTTTTATAAATGTAACAGTCTTATCTTCCTGAAAGGAAAAGTCAGGTAATTTGAAATTTTCAGCTCTTGAATTTAAACCACTTAAGCATGTAACTTCAGTTTTTGGAGGGCTGCAGGACAAAGCATTTGTCTTGCCCTCTTCTTTTAAACATTCTGCAGCATTTATGACTTCCACATCTACTTCCTCCTTTACTAAGCCATCATCTTTTAGTAATTCACATGGCTGCCTCTTCTGTTGTAGTTTGTCTTCGGTATCAAACATTTTGGAACTTTGTTGAGTCAAAGCAGATGATGTGTTAAAATCAACGACTGGTTCTAACTGATTAGAGATCTTTTTATCTTCTAAATTTTCTGTTCCACTGTAATTACAGGAATCTGAAAGTGTATCTATTTTTATACCCAGTTCTTTGATTCCTCTGATTTCTCTATTTTGTAATTCAGAACTGATGTCATTCTGCTGTTCTCTGACAGTATCACTACCATGGTCTGTTGAAGAAACACAGGGAGTATCTGACACTGATGATAAATCCAATCCAATCAAGGAATCTGCATTAGACTTAAAATCATCTGGCAATAATTGTTTAATATCTTCTTCACTATTAGTTGCATGAACTAAGTTACCCATGTCACTTATCAGATCACAGATAGGTTTACTACATCGTCCCATACATAAAGGTTGGATTTCATCTGAAGTGCCACCATCCACAGAAGAAAGAAGATCAAGTCCTGTTACATTCTTTTCATTTTGTATAGTAGTAAGTCCCTTGAGTGTTTTTTCATTCAGGGAACTCTCACTTGTTTCATAGCTTATGTCTGATGAGGCACAACTATTAATGCATTGTTGGTCTTTTGGGAGCAATGAAGTTAGCTGTGAGGAAGCCAACTCTGAAGAAACTGAGCAGTGGTTAGAATCATACGCATTTTGTACATCTTGAAGATAATCTTCTTCATCTAAAATAGAGAAACGTGTTATTCGGGAGACTCAAATCAAATAAAAATTATTAAACATATCATGTTTCCCAAGACTTCTAAATTAAATAAACTTTTTAAAAAGACCATAGATTATCCTTTTGCAAAAGAGAACCTCCAAAACTATTTTTTATATTTCCTTTAGAGCATTTATTTTTATCTGAAATTATCTTGTTTATGATTATTGGCTGTTTCAATCAACTACAAAATAAGTGTCACAAGTGCAGGAACCTTGTCTCTTTTTTTCTAACTTACACCCCCATTGCTTAGAATACTTCCTGAAACTTAAGTGTTCAAGAAATGATTAAGTGACTGCATAAATGAATGTCCTAGGGTCTTGTGCATAGTTGCTCTGGTAATTTGATCTCCTTGATTTTTCCTTTGTTTGGGAGGACTCAAGTTGACTTTCTACTTGTTCATTTTTCTATCACCTGGATCCTACCCTCATTCCCCTGTGGTGCTCTAATCGAGGTTGCCAATTACAGTAGCATCACACACTATGTCCATGGTGATGGGCATGTGATTGTTTCAAGCTGGGCCACTTAAAGGCATTCTCCTAATACTCCAAATTTGACAGAAGGAAAAAGGAGACTTCTCAGGTGGCAGTATGAATCTGGAGCTGTTGGTGGCCATAGCCACATTCAGATAAAAGAAGCCAGTAATTCTGCATGGCTGGAGAGGTCTCAGGAAACTTAAAATCATAGCAGAAGGCAAAGGAGAAGCGAGCACCTTCTTTACAAGGCAGCAGGAGAGAGATCAAAGCTATTTTTATTTGACTTTAAAGTACTTTCTGGTTTTTACTTTTGAATGTAGATGTCATAAAGTGATAAAAAATTCCACTCAAAATAATTTAGTTGTGGCTGGGCATGGTGGCTTACAACTGTAATCCCACTTTGGGAACCCATAGCAGGAAGACAACTTGAGACCAGGAGTTCAAGACCAGCCTGAGTAACACAGTGAGACCCCGTATTTAAAAATATACACATTTTTAAATTAGCCGGGCATGGTGACACACACTTGTGGTCCCAGCTACACAGAAGGCTGAGGTGAGATGATTGCCTGAGTGCAGGAATTCCAAGGCTGCAGTGAGCTATGACTGCACCACTACACACCAGCCAGGGTGACAGAGCAAGACCCCGTCTCTTAAAAAAAAAAAAAGAAAAGAAAAGAAAAGAAACTTAGTGGCACTATAAAAACCAAACTAAAGTGGCCTGTAATCCCAGCATTTTGGAAGGTCAAGGTGGGCAAATAACCTGACATCAGGAGTTCGAGACCAGCCTGACCAACATGGAGAAACCCCATCTCTACTAAAAATACGAAATTAGCCAGGCATGGTGGCACATGCCTGTAATCCCAGCTATTCTGGAGGCTGAGGCAGGAGAATCACTTGAAACTAGGAGGCGGAGGTTGTGGTGAGCTGAGATCACACCATTGCACTCCAGCCTGGCAACAAGAGTGAAACTCCAAGAAAGAGAAAGAGAGAGAAAGAGAGAGAGAGAGAGAAAGAGAGAGAAAGAAAATACCACCTCTCATATTAATGAAATACCAATTTATGTAGAACTCTCAAGTAGCTTTTAGCTTGCTCATATGTTGGTTTTAAAGGCTTTTCTAGGGCCAAGCAGGTGGCTCATGCCTATAATCCCAACACTTTGGGAGGCTGACGTAGGAGGATTGCTTGAACGCAGGAATTCGAGACAGGCCTGGGCAACATAGGAAGATCCTGTCTCTAAAAGTAATTGAAAAATTAGCCAGCATGGTGGCATGCATCTGGAGGCTGAGGTGGGAGGACTGCTTAAGCCCAGGTGGTTGAGACTGTAGTGAGCTCTAATTGTGGCACTGTACTTCAGCTTGAGTGACAGAGTGAGACCCTGTCTCAAATATAAAAAGAAATGTGTCTCTTAGAGCTAATTTGAATCTAGAAAAAAAACCTTCTAGTTTCCTTACTTCTGTTTCTGGTTATGGATCCCATTCAGTCTAAGAATCAACTAACATCTTATTATGACATAAATGAACTTTTAGCAGAAGATAACAATGTGGCCAAAATTGAAAGAAAATTTTGCTAATATTACTCTATACCTAAGATAACTTAATTATAGATATTTAAAAATTCCATTAGTGGCAAAAATGGAAAATCAACAAACCTGGGTTCTGTTCAAAATCATCAAGGAGTTTGTCCAAGTCACTGACAGCTGCTTTAAAATAAGTGTCCATCCTACCTGTAGACTTACTCAGAATTTAATTCTTGTTTGCCTAAAAAATAAAAAGCAAGATAATATTTCATTTAACTCTGTAACATAAATATTATGCCATCTATTCCACGCCAGAAAACACTGTCAAGAAACTGACACAGAAATAAAATTTAAGAGTGCTGCTTTATGGAATCTACAATTTAGTTGGGGAAATTGCCCTGTATATATAAAAATGACACAAAAACCAACTCTAACAACATATTTGCACATACAAACTATTATAAATTTTAAAACATTTACCTAAATAACTCATGGGTCAAAGAAGAATTCATAATGGAAAGCTAAAACTACTTATAAACACAACATTTCAAAATAATATAAATAACATACATAAAAATACTCTACATTAAAAACTCTGGGATTCAGTAAAAGTGGTACTTCTCGTGATACTTAGAGTCTTAGATACTTTTTTATTTTTTGAGATGGAGTCTCACTCTGTCACCCAGGCTGGAGTGCAGTGGTACAATCTCGGCTCACTGCAACCTCCACCTCCCAGGTTCAAGCGGTTCTCCTGCCTCAGCCTCATGAGTAGCTGGGACTACAGGCATATGCCAACATGCCCAGCTAACTTCTGTATTTCTTTTTTTTAGAAGAGTAGGGGTTTCACCATTTTGGCCAGGCTGTCTCGATGACCTCAAGTTATCTGCTTATCTCAGCCTCCCAAAGTGCTGGGATTACAGGCATAAAACACTACACTCAGCCACCTTAGACACTTATACTACAAAAGAAGAAAGACTGAAAACTAATAAACTAAGAGCAGAAATTAAAGAAATGGAAAATAAGCATATAAGAGAGACGCACAAGAAAGCTAAAAGTTAGTTTTATGAAAAGATGAAAAAAGTAGATGAACCTCTGGTCTGGAGCAGAAACTCTACCAAATAAGCCTGAGAAACCTCACAGGAATCTGTCAATAGCTAATGGGATAATATCGAAAGTAAAAGCCAAGTTGAAGGGCACTGGCTTAAAGGGGGCAAGTGATCATCAAATGAATGAAGACTGCAAAGGACTAAACACAAATCAAATATATTTTTCAAAAAAACAAAAGATCAAATGATACTAAAAACAAAAACAAAACATACCACTCATTGGACGGTTAGCAGGGTACTAACCAAGTACTCTGAAAATTGATCAATTAAGGGGAAAAAAATCAAGAATTTATGCTACCCAAGGACACGAACAGACATTTCTCAAAAGAAGATATTTATGTGGCCAACAAACATGAAAAAAAGCTCAACATCACTGATCATTAGAGAAATGAAAAGTAAAACCACAATGAGATACTATCTCAGGCCAGTCAGAATGGCAATCATTAAAAAGTCAAGAAACAATAGCAGCTGGCAAGGCTATGGAGAAATAGGAACACTTTCACACGAAGACAGCGTAGTGATTTTTCAAAGATCTAGAACCAGAAATACCATTTGTCACAGCAATCCCATTACTGGTATATGCCCAAAGGAATATAAATCATTCTACTATAAAGAAACATGCACGTGTATGTTCACTGCAGCACTATTCACAATAGTAAAGACATGGAATCAACCCAAATGCCCATCAATGATAGACTGGATAAAGAAAATATGGTACATATAAAACCATGGAATACTATGCAGCCATAAAAAAGAACAAGATCATGTCCTCTGCAGAACATTAGAAGCCATCATCCTCAGCAAACTAATGCAAGAACAGAAAACCAAATACATGTTCTCACTTGTAAGTAGGAGCTGAACAATGAGAACATGTGGACAAAGGGAGAAGGAACCACACATACTGAGGCCTGTTGCAGGAGGGGTGGTCGGTAAAGGGAGAGCATCAGGATAAATAGCTAATTTATGCAGGGCTTAATATCTAGGTGATGGATTGATAGGTACAGCAAACCACCATGGCACATGTTTACCTATGTAACTAACCTGCATGTCCTGCATGTGTATCCCAGAACTTTAAATTTAATTTAAAATACATACATACATACATATATGTGTATATCAATTTGGAGAACACCATCCTTAAAAATATTGAAATTTCCAATTCATGAGCATGGTATATGATGTGATGAAGCCTTCTCTGTTGTATTTCAATAAAGCTTTGTCATTAAATAAAAAAATTTATCTTGCCCCTTAATTACTAAATATGACAAAATAATTACTGATATAAAGTTCTTTAGATAAGAATTCCAGTTAATAAATGCAGAAGGATATTAAAAATTTTTAATTCATCTCCTCATAATCCCTAATGCAATAAATAGACTAGGCAATGGCTATAAACGGATGCTTAAAAGGTTAGAGCAGGCGTCCCCCAACTTTTTACACAGGGGGCCAGTTCACTGTCCCTCAGACCGTTGGAGGGCCGCCACATACTGTGCTCTCCTCACTGACCACCAATGAAAGAGGTGCCCCTTCCTGAAGTGCGGTGGGGGGCCCCCAGATAAATGGCCTCAGGGGGCCGAATGCAGCCCATGGGCCGTAGTTTGGGGACATCTGGGTTAGAGGAAAAGGTTTATGAGGAGGTTTATAATGGTGGGATCGAGTCAACACATCTGAACCCAACAATCAATTTCACCATCAATAAAAGTGGAAGAACAGTGTCACCTAAAAAGTATTACTGCCTAAAAAAACTGAATCTGAATCTAATCAAACTAACTGCATGTTTACAGGAAATTCAAGCGTAAGGGACAAGTTAAGTGACTTAAAAAGAAAGCAATCAGCTAAGCTAATCTAGAAGGTGAAACCCTGTACAGCAACATTCCTCAAACTACCTATGGTAAAAATTTTTCTTATACTTCCAATCCATTGCAAACTGTTACTTTTTAAAAAATACAATGAAACTGTATAAATTTGTATTAATACAGACAAAAGAATATACATTATTAAACACATCTGTTTGGCTACCTGTCATGGGGACTAGGAATGCGAAATCAATTGGGGTAAAAGACAACAAACAAATGAGAGAGCTTCACAGGACGTAGTTATGATCGTGTGCCATCAACTATGGACACCTGAGGTCCAGGGGAAAAAAAGATACTTTTTAAATGGGCTTAAAAATTAGGCAGAGCTTAAGAGAGAACTGAATGATAATGAAGACCTATCTGAAGAAATTATCTAAAATAATGCCCAGAGGGATGAGGAAGAGGAAAATATAAAAATGGTTAAAAGATATTGATGACAAAATAAGAATGGAGTACTACAAGGAGAAAAGACAGCATGGAACAACTATATTTGAAAAGATAATGCTGGGAGTTTTTCCGGAATTGATGAAAAAGTCAACTCAACAGATACAGGTAACATATTATACCAAACAATGCAAAGAGAAATCCATATTTAGAAACACTATTGTAAAACTACTAAACCCCAAAGACAGAACAGGCAGAGAGAAAGGGTCACTTTCAAATGAACAATTATGCTGGCAACGTACTTAAAACTAATAGGTACACTTCAGAAGAATTTTCAATAACATTGGTATGACATCTGAATTCAATGAAGCAGGTTACCATTTTTGTTCCAGTTTTAATATTGTGGTTATACCATACACATAGAGTACACAAAAACACAGACACCAAACAAACAAAAGGAATTTGGATGCCAGGCAAGGTGGCTCACGCCTGTAATCCCAACACTTTGGGAGGCCGAGGCACGTGAATTGCTTGAGGCCAGGAGTTTGAGACCAGCCTGGCCAACATAGGGAAACCCCATCTCTACTAAAAGCACAAAAATTAGCTGGGCATAGTGGCACACACCTGTAATACCAGCTACTTAGTTAACTGAGGCAGGAGAATCACTTGAAACCAAAAGGCAGAAGTTGTAATGAACTAAGATCACGCCACTGCACTCCAGCCTGGGCAACAGAGTGAGGCCGACTCAAAAAAAAAAAAGGAATTTGGAGGAAGAGACAATGCAGGAGGGAGAATAAAACTTCAAAGAAGCTAATTAATATTCTCAGAGACAAAAAAGCAATGCAACCATGAAACAGGAATAGGAAGCCATAAATAAGAAACACACAGAGAACAAAAAAAGATCATGAAACTTGATAGTAATCTTAAAATTTAAGCAAGATTTGTAAGCTGCAGTAAAAGCAGTGTTTAAGGGACAATGGCAGCATTAAAAATGCATATATTGAAAACGAATTTGGGAGGCTGAGGCAGGAGGATCACCTGAGGTCAGAAGTTTAAAACCAGCCGGGCCAACATGGTGAAACCTTGCCTCTACTAAAAAATATGAAAATTAGCTGGGCATAGGGGCAGGTACCTGTAATCCCAGCTACTTGGGAGGCGGAGGCAGGAGAATCACTTGAACCTGGGAGATGGAGGCTGCAGTGAGCAGAGATCACGCCATTGCACTCTAGCTTGGGAACAAGAGTGAAACTCCATCACAAAAAAAAAAAAAAAAAAAAAAAAAGAAATCTAAAATTGGTAAGCTCCCACCTTGGAAAACTAGACAAACAAAAACAATTTAGGCTTAAAGAAATTTATTTTCCTAAAGTAGGAAAATAAAAATTGGAGCAGAAATCAATGAAATTTAAAACAGGAAAACAATAGAAAAATAAAGAAAGACAAAAAACTCATCCCTTTAAAAGACCAATAAAATTGATAAACTACGTTAATGAAGAGAGAGACAAATGATCAACTTCAGAAATAAAATAGGAGTCATCCAAAAAAAGAAAACTTCAGGCCAATATTCATTATGAACATAGATGCAAAAATCTTTAATAAAATACTGGCAAACCGATTGCAACAGCACATCAAAAAGCTTATCCATAACGATCAAGTAGGGTTTATCCCGGGGATGCAAGGCTGGTTCAACATACGCAAGTCTTTAAACGTAATTCACCACATAAACAGAATCAAAGACGAAAACCACATGATTATCTCGACAGATGCAGAGAAGGCCTTTGACAAAATTCAACAACACTTTATGCTAAAAATTCTCAATAAACTAGGTATTGACAGAAAGTATCTCAAAATAACAAAAGCTATTTATGACAAACTCACAGCCGATAATATACTGAATA